GGGAAAACGGGAGAAGTTACTCCATTTTTTAAGCTTCCGTCGCGGGTGCATCCTTAATGGTTAAAGTTACATAGAAATCATGTATGACGGAAATATTCTACATAAAATTGTCTAAAAAATATCCCGCAACAGCATATGTCTATCTTTTATGGTTGACTCACAATAACACGTGTAATTATATAAATAAAGTCATTCTTTATAGCACAAGCCTGAGAACAAAAACTATAGTTTACACTACGGCTCTACACCGAAGCGAAGCGAGGGCGGGCCACTAGTTTTCAATAAAACAGTGTGTACACAATGCGTCATGTCTATAATTTATTTTAATTACATTATGGTAAACTCAGGAAAGATAAAAAAAGTCGTTTAAATAGGTAAAATGAGGTATATTTTCAAAATTTGTAAATTATAAATCCAGGTTTTTGTACATATAGAATGTACTATATATAAATGAATGTATATAATAACTTACCAAATACAATTATAAAATATAACACGCAACAGAGAAAAAAAAGGGTCGTGTTTCAAGTGTTGATAAAAACAAATGCGAGATCCAAGTGCCTTGATTTATGTGTTGACGTTTAATTATGTTGGATTGTTTATTTTACTTTAGTTACAAGTCTCGGATGGAATAGGTTTGTTCATTTTATAGTTTCAAGCACTCGCAACAAGGCACTTGAAATCGCTACCAAATCAGTCATCTCAACTTTATGTCGATAAAACGAAAAGCATATACAAATGTTGATAAACAGTTTCTTTTATTAAAATGTACATGAAATTTTCTATAGAATACACAAAATATAATCACTAGTTCCTATACAAGAACATAATTGCCGCTAGGTGGCGCTATGTGGCGTTGACAAGTAAACAGATTTTGTGTACTAAAAATATAAAAAGTTAATTTATGTCTGTGAATTTATATGAAATTTAAAAAGCATCGCATAAATAACCACAATTAGTGTTATCCTACTGATCTGTACCCCTAGTATGAGTTTTAATCGTTTTCGAATTCGATCAATCGTATCGTCTCGTTTCCATACATTGACTAGCAGCGCCCCTAGCGTTAACTATCAAAAACTAAAATCAGCAGTATGAGTTTCATCGAGTCATCGTAACACGAAAACTTCCAAAGTTTTCGTATGACGTTTGCATTTTGGCAGTACAAGTTACAACTTTGACAGCGCGTCAAGAGTTTACTACGACGTTAGATCGTATCGTCACTCGATCAGAAACTTTCAGTGACGAAGTGTTTTGGGCCAAGTTTTTGAGCAATTTAATAATGTTTTCGGCACAATATTTAGCTCTCTTGCTCGCTGAAGAGATTGACGAAGACCAGCGTGCACAGGAACGACGGGAATTGTTACAGCGAAGGCGATTAACTTCTTCCATCACCGACAGGCATTTTGTACAAAGGTACCGCCTCTCCAAAGAATCTTTTGAGTATCTTTGTGTTACTTTAGCACAAAACACTACATTAAGAAGCTCACAAAGAGTTACTTTGGAGAAAAAGGTATGTAATACATGAGATTTTATACATATTTTCTTAATAAGGACCGCTTGGAAGTGTGGAGGTTATTAATAATAATTCAAAGCATATTTTCTCACTCATATGTAATTACTGTAACCTTTTTTGTTAATCTATTTTCTTAAATCACTAAATAATCTTTACAGGTGTTATGTGCATTATTATTTTATGCAAATGGTGATTATCAAAGAGTGATTGGAGTAGCCAATGATTATTCACAAGAGGCAATTAGCCGTTATGTGCAAGAAGTGACGAAAGCACTCAATCATCCTAATATCTTAAAATTATTTATTAAATTCCCATCTACTCGTGTAGAACGAGACAATATGAAGCAAAGGTTGGTACACTTTTGAGAATTCTGATAATATTGACATTTCTACTATGAATAATCCTTCCATTTTATCTTCGTGGTCAGCTTCAAGAGAATCTATTTATGTACTATGTAAGTCTGTGATGCACTCTCTGTCTCTTCTTTCCATTATGTCATTTGCAAAGGACTGTCAATGTTATGACCAGAGCAAGGAGCAGGATCAACTACTTGACCATAACAGTCGCTTACAATACTATTCAGCACAACACAACAGTGAACAGATTGTAGACTAATATATAATACCTTAATGATTATAGTTTTTAAATATGACTAATCAATTTCTTCTGTCCCACCTGCTGCCTGGTCCGCATGGAATTTTTTCTAGTAATATTTTCTTTAAATATAAACATAGTGTAGTAACATTTAAGTTTTTTACATTTTTAGACATTAGGTAGTTTTAAGCTTTTGTAATTGTAAACTCATATCGTTAGACCAAATATATTCTTTTAATTATTGTGTAGTTACTAGCTTAAGATAAAAAAATATAGAACTAATAATAAATTTCTTTTTTAGATTTTATGATTTGTATGGCTTTCCTGGAGTAGTGGGATGCATTGATGGATCCCACTTCAGAATTTTCAAGCCAAATAAAGAAGTGGAACACTTATACTATTGCAGAAAGCATTACCATTCCTTGAATGTCCAAATGGTATTTGAGTTTTAATATTATTTTAACATAAATATTATGTTTTTTTTATCATTATTGAACCTTTATTTCTCCATTACATTTACATTATGTTCTACTTTGGTTTAAATTATTTTGGGTGTTGTAAATTATTTAGGCAATGTAAGGTGCATTTAAGAATAATTTTCTTTTGAAATTATTGTGTATTGCACCTATAATTTATTTGATTTTTATGTTCATTTTAGATTTGCGACTACAAGTGCCGAATACTTTCAGTAAATGCAAGATTTGGGGGAGCTACACATGATGCCTTTGTGTGGGAAAACAGTCGGATCAATAGCCATATGCAAAGTTTTCACAGAAATGGTGAATCTGTGTGGCTGTTAGGTTTGTAAATATTTTTCATTGTTATAATTTTATAAAAGTAGATGATTCATTTCTTATTTATCAAAGAACAAATGAATGCTTTCAATTTCAATACTTAATTTTTGTATTTCCTACAGGTGATTCTGGATACCCACAAAGGCCATGGCTCATGACTCCATACAGTGACCCAGCACCCGGAACTGCAGCAGAATCATACAACAATACACACCGCAGAGCTAGAGTCACAATAGAAAATACTTTTGGAAGATTAAAAAATCGCTGGCGATGTACAAGCAAGGATAGGGTATTACATTATAAGCCAGAAAAATGTGCCAAAATAATATTGGCTTGTTGTGTGCTGCACAATCTAGCACTGGAACATGGAGTACCAGAGCCAGAAAATTGTGAACCAGTAGGTATGGTATTGCTATGAACGTTTACTAATTCAATCATGTAATCCAGCAAATATTGCTCTTTATTAATGTTCAAACATATTAATTTACAGATTTCCAAGAATTCCTTCGTGTGGAAGTCCCAGAAGAGGAAAGAACTTTATTAAATCTTGGACGTTCCATTAGGGATCGGGTCGCTAATAGTATACATGCTACCACTTAAATAATTTAAATATATTATTACCATTATAGCACAAAGATCTTTTAATTCTCAAACCTAATTTATCTTTATAATTAACTTTCACAAACTACAAATTGTATTTACAATAATTTTGAGGTCTTTTACTATTGGCTGACTTTACAATATGTGGCCAATTTCAATATTTATTTATTATTTAGGAGACCACCAGCTAATTAAAAACAGAAAATATAACTACAGTAGTAACAAATAGCCTATTATTGCAGATGACAACAGATCCAAATCATACTACATATTTACCATATTTTGTTTAGTTGCAAGTAACCATTGTGATTTTTCAATAAATAACAATTGTTGATTAGAAGTTACACTAAAAATAAGTAATCTTAGTAAGGATCGGGCTTAGAAATCTGACGATAGTCCTAACAGTACTGCAAATAGGATTATCAATTAGTTAATGCATATAATAGCATCCTCAGCATTTGTTTGTACTTTTTGGGAATGGAAAACTTTCATACACTAAGTTACTCACATCAGGGGAGAATCCATGTGTTATGGGCCTGTATATTAAATTGGATATTATTCAAAATAAACAAAACACTGATTGATTTATAAAAGTAAAAAACATTTATTTTTCTAAATATTTCAAATATTTGTCAAAGAGAGTTTGCCACTGAGCACGCTGCTGCAGGTCCACTTCTCGCAGTTGTAATTCTAAATCACGCTGACGCAGATGCCCAGTGACCAACTCTCTCATTATAGCCTGCCACTGCTCATTTTGGGCAGTCATCTGGCTAAGCGCTGTCTCCAATCGCGACTGGCTGGGCCTGACTCGCCTCCGTCGCGGAGTCAGCTGACGGCGTGAAGGGACATATACCCTTTAGACACAGATTAATATGATTAAGTCTAGAGTTTTACATAGATTAGCTTTATTTAAGGTTGAATTGAACGAATGGCTCAGCTATCTCTTTTTTGGCAATAAAGAACGAAAGAGACAAAACTAAACAGTGTGAAGTTCGTTTAATCGAGCATACGATATCGTGAAAACGAAGAGTGAAATTCAATACTCGTACTGCGACACATTTCGAGAACGTGAAGTTTGATCGAATCGACGAAGACGATCGTTCGTTTCGTATTAAAAAAATGGTTGCCTGTAAAGTCGGTTTTACGGGCGAAGATTTTACGTGACAACGTCTTTTTCTCGGTAGAATATTTATTGATATGAATATAATTAAATTGCACAATAGGAACAAGGAATTGAATGAAAATAAGAATTGCACAAATTTTAACTATAGAAATATATTTTGTTTACTAAAACATTGTACATGTAAACTTAAACTTAACACGAGAGACTCATCGTAACGTTACCGAGCGTTACACTTTTTCATAAGTGACTCCCAGCCGCAACCTAATTTAAGACGTTGTCACGTCAAAAACTCATACTAAGGGTACTGGCCGCACCCGTACCCGTAGGGTGTAAAATTTTACGAGCTTGCATTTCGAACTGTCATAACTCATTGACGCATTGACGCACGCATTATAGGTGACTGTCAATGTTTATAATGCCTTTTATTGTTTTTGACAATGTGATTATCTTCCGGAACTCCGTGGATTGTCCAATGTACTTTTTGGACGGGTTTCGACCACGATTTTGTACGTGTTGTTATATCTAGGGTATTTAATGGTGTCGATTCTGGCGTGATTATCTAAACCAAAGAGCTAAATTTAACATTAGTCTGTCCTTTTCATTCTGTCAAGAGGATGATAAGGATAAACTGTTGTCAAATTTAATTTTGGGTTTACAGAATAAAGCCTTCGACACATTATCGTTGTTTTTGGCCATAAAGTTGGAACTGGAACGCAGCTCTGTTAAGATTCTATAGAATGATTTTGATTGAAGATAAAAGAACTTATAATTATTTACAGTAAGTGTTTTCGTTTCCTAAGATTTTTTTTAATTACACTCAATGCATTTTAATTAAAAGTTAGTTATGTATTCTTTGTGTTCAAGTCATTTTTAAAGTACGTTTACGACGCACTGATTGTCAATTTATTAGTTTATCTGTTTTTACGTGGTGTGTAATATCAGTTAACAGATGTTTCATATTTATTATCTTTGTTTATTATATTCAAAGAGGATACACTCATTGATCACAATACATTCGGTTTTCTTTAGTGTCCTTTGTCCTTCATAGTTTTGGTTTTTGAAATTGTTATTGTATTCTTGTTTTGTGGAAAGTATTTTAATATGCAACGTTGGTTTTTTATACAGGATCGGAAAAATACCAAATTTAATAATTCACATAAAACAATGTCATTGAAGGAGCCACTACCAGTTTCAGAAATTATCTCTCAAGATTGGGTTTTTACAGTTAATGTGCCAGGTGTTGGACCCAAGGAAAAAGTTGTTATAACGGGCAGTATTCCGGAATTAGGAGAATGGGATTATACCAAAGTTGTTGTGATGGAGTCTGAATCAGGCAATGATATTTGGTCAAAAAGTGTTGTTATTCCAAATACTTATGATATATACTATCGTTATGCTATTTGTATGTTTACTGAAGACAATAAGCAAGTAATGGTCTGTCGCTGGGAGACTAATTTACACCCTAGAGTCATAACAGAGAATACTCTTCATCCTAATGTTGATATATTTAGTGACTATGATAGTAATCAGAGAGTAGATCATGGTTGGCTGACTGTTCAGACATTAGTTCAATTTAAATTTACTAACAATCCACACAAATTAAAGAGAAGTCTTTCTGGAAGACTGATGAATATTAAAGTTACTCCTGTAAAATTATCTTTTGGTTCTGAACCGCACATTGAAGAATCATCCATAAATAGTGATACAGTTGATGCTGAAATACCTTTAGGTGTGTTTGTTGAAGTATCTACTTTAGACAACTGCCCTTCTCTCTGTCAGCCACATCCTCAGGAACAGTTTGGCAGGGAATACAAACCTAATGATGTGATGTTGGTTAATGTATTTGCTCCTGAACCCAAAGCTCTTGCATACCTTATAGATTTTTACTCATACAGTTCTCGGGCATCAACTGAAGATCCACCTTGTCATATAGGTTATACATATGTATTGCCCAACATGTTCAAGGCTTCTGAAGGCGGATTAGAGTTGCCTGTTACATGCAATGTTAAGCACAGACCACTGGGCACTGTTAAATTTGATTATTTAATTGTCTCTCCCATGGAAGAGAAGCTGTGTGATTTCCAAGTATCTTATACAAAACACTGGGACCCTGCCTGGACTGGCCTGGAAGTGGGCCATCGTGGTCTTGGTGCAAGCTTTAAAACCAAAGAGTGAGTATATTACACATATTTGCAGTTCATTCAAGTTTTTTAAAGGTTTCTATAACATATTTTATGTTATAATTTAGTAAGTGATACCATCTTCTTGCTTTATTATAAATAGGTTAAAAGTCACATTATAAGCAAATGGCCTTACTAAAAAAATATTCAATTTATTAAAACATCTTTCTTTTCCATAACCAGTAATCGTTTTCAGAGGAAATTCTATTCGTGAAAACACAATAGCTTCTCTTAAAAAGGCTGCTGCAAGTGGTGCAGATTTACTAGAATTTGATGTTCAGCTAAGCAAAGATATGATACCAGTAATTTATCATGATTATTATGTATGTATGTCAATGAAAAGAAAAAAAGAAGTTGAATTTACTGAAATGTTAGAATTGCCTGTGAAGGATTTGACTTTGGAGCACCTCCAAAAGCTAAAGGTATTAAAAATGCTAAGCCTATGTTACTCCTCTAGACATGTTGTGGGTGTATTTATTCAGATTGTATTTGTGATTTTACTGATATCTTAGGGCTACCTAAATTGCCTTGACCACCTGGACAATTGAATGTTAATATTTTGTACACTTGACTCTAACAAAAACCTTGAGACAAACTTCTTAGCAATCCATAGATTCAAAGTGCGGGTGCCGGGTCCATTGTGTGGGACTGTGTATACCCGTGACTCCTTGTGAAGTTATTGGTGTTAATTCTGGCATGTTTCTCTAAACTTAAATCTAAATTTAGCATCTCAGTCTCCCCTTTTCATTCTGTATAGAGAATGAATACTCTGTTGTCAAGTTTAGGTTTAGAGTAGCATGCCAGAATCGACAATTGCGGCTGTTTCATCGTATTTGCACTGAATACCCAGGCATCTTTCCATCTCTACTGTGCTTATCATTGCCTAGGGTAATTTTGTGACCAAGGTTGTAATCCTTCTCTACAACAATCGGAATGTCGTCCATTTTGCTTCTGGTCTTAATTTTTTATGACTCATTTGTGATTTTTTGTTTTTTTTTATTTAAACTTTTTTATAAACGGAGTTATGCTCAAAGCATTCTCTGCCAGTCAGCCTTCAGGAATACAGAAAGATACGAATGCGGCTTTAGTAAAAAAGTAATTAAGTAATATAAACATACCATAAAGGTAAATACTTATCTTATACATAATAATTAAATATTTACAGATTTTTCAAGCATACTTTTTTGGATTCTACCTTTAGTGTTCAATCATGTCTAACATAACGGTGACACCCTTCGGGAGCAATGCCTGATCATCAGCAAACTTAAAGTTTGTTAGATATTGACTACGACGTCGATCACTGTCATTCTAGTCTAATTTCCGAAATATATTGTGTATGGCAGCTGTAAAAAGTTTAGGGGATATCAAGTCAGCCTGCTTGCTTAACGTTTCGCCCTACCCGCGTAGTAAATTCCACAATTTCAGTGTATTTTCGGATAACCTGACACCTGTGATAGCATGTTTCTGTAGGTCGAAGATTCCATGAGTGTCACCAACATTACGATTTGCAATCCTAATTAAATAAATATTTCAGCAGTCTTCTATTTGGGTAAAAAATCTATTACGGTATTTATGGTGGATTGGGAATTTAAGAACGGCGGCCAACTCGAGCAGTGAAGATGAGCGTTGATGCGTATCTCAAAGAAGGCCTCCTTAAGCCTACACCTGAGTCGCAAGTCCTGGGAACTCCTCAGTGTTTCTCTCCCATACGATGGAATTTTCGATCTACTTTGATCACATTGTTTTTAATAGGTCCTAGGTAGAGAAAACCTGTATTTTATCACCTGTTTTCTACTTTTTGGACATTCCTGAGAATACGGCGCACAGTGGGTGAAAAAAAGAGGTCCCCTTTCATAGGATTTTTGAAAAAATAAAAATGTATATTATCCGTTTAAGGTATGCGGTTTTATTGGACATATCAGTACATTGAATAATAAAATAGTTTGGGGAATTTCCTTTTAATCTAACACCATAAAGCACGGACTTTAGAGTTTCAAATGTATGAAAACGGAATTTGTTTTGCTCATAACTTGTCTCGGTCTTCTACGGTCAAGCTGAAACTAATAGGGATTATTACCGGGTCTGTTACGAAGCCATGTGACCTTTGACGTTCACCCCGGACGGCCCCGTTCAAAAGATACGAATTTTTCAAAATGCTTATTAGGGTAATTTTGCTTTACGGGGTTATGTGTCTCAATAAACAGTTTGTTTATGTTTCTTGCCCAGCATTTAGTTATTAATACAGCGCAGATTATTATCTAATAAAACTATTCATAAATATATAGATAACGACACCATACAACTTAACTTTAAATAAAAGCGTCCTTATTCAAAAGATATGGAATTAATGTAAATAGATAAAAGAAATAGTTTTAAGAAAAAGAAAACAAGAATACAATATTGTAAAGAATTACAATGAAGGCGTTTACAGCCTACAATTTAATCTTTTGTTTGACAATCGCTTAAAAGCCGCGCGCCATTAACGAGAGCATCATTACATATAAACAATACAAACTCTATTGTTGCAGGTTTTGAGGAATTCAAAGGGTTACCCACAGTCATTACCTGCCGTTGTTTGCCTATAATAATTACTGATTATTTGCTTTTATTGTGGGTAGGTGAATAAATAATACGTTGTTATTATTATTATTCAACAATGACTTCGATTATAATAAATACGGAGTACACCTGTATTTCATTTCACTTATCATTATTGATTCGTACCGTAACGTTCTCTTTGCTCAAATTTTAAGTTGCTCAGAATGGAAGGGCTTGTGTCTAATCTCGACGTATATATATATATGAGGCAAAAATCTTTTAGTGCCGACATGTTATTTCAAAAAGTACTCGATTCAGTGAGATTTTCATTATCTGAAGAACAAAAGACAAGTCTTAAACGTTTTGTGCTACATATACGAGTTATCTTAAACGTAAATGGAAGTCAGCTAATTACACACAAGGGAATTTTATAAAGAAGTTTGCTGACTGGTTGGACCAAGAAATAAAATGGCCAGAGTTTGTTTCACTAGACATAACTGAAGAACAATCAAATATTATGACGAGTTTTGAAGATCCTTCAACAAGTATTTCAACAGTAACAAGACCTAGTTTATCAACGGAATGCACTGTTCCTCATAGTGTGGCTGTGTCAACATCAACCGCTACATTTAGTCCTCGAAAAGAATTTGCCAATTTGAGTCCACTGCAAAAAAGAAGAAGAACTGAAAATCTCATTGCCGAAAACGATTTTGAGACACTTGCTTATGCCCTGGCTAGGAAAGCGGAAAATGAAAACCAAACGGACTTTGTAGAATTAGTGAAGCATTTGATTAAAAAGCCTGAAGATGCGCCAATGCTGCGAGCCTGCCTGAAATCGACGAAACGAACTTGTCATACCGATAAGGCACTCGGTATTTCAACATCACTGAAATTATCGAAATGGCAGTATATTACATTGAGGCAGACAATGAGAGACATGGGGTGTGATATACTTCCATCGTATGATGCTTTGAAGCAAGAGAAGAAGGAGTGCTACGTTGAAAAAGAAGACATGGTAATAACTAAGAATGAAGTTAAACTTAAACTTCAGTCTATTTTAGATATTACGGTCAAGAGACTATTAAAAACTCTGGAAACTGATTTAACTGGCAGTAATTCGACTCTTATCAGTAAATGGGGGTTTGGCGGTGCATCTGGGCAAAGCAACTACCAACAAAAAATTGACGGCGATGATTCAAGCATCTTCATGTGTTCATTTGTGCCGTTAAAACTGGTGAGAGATGGTACTGATGAAATAATATGGGAAACCCCTAAAGCGTCTTCAACGTTTTACTGTCGACCCATTTATTTTAAGTTTGCTAAAGAGAACGATTTGAATGTTAAAGAAGAAATGACTTCAATTGATACGGAAATTGCTGCTCTACATCCAACTGTTATCGATGGTGCAAATGTAAAACACGTTCTGCATATGACGATGATTGATGGTAAAATAACTTCACATTTATCAGATACATCCACAGCTACATGCGATATATGCAAAGCAAAACCAAAAGAAATGAATGATATCGACAAGGTTACTCAGAGAACCCAGTCTGTAGACATGTTTAAGTTCGGTCTGTCTTCCCTCCATGCACGAATTAGATGCATGGAATGTATCTTACATATTGCTTACCGTCTCGACTTCAAGAAATGGCAAGCTAAGGGCGAAGATTTGAAGCAACAGTTAAGCCAAAGAAAAAAGGCTATTCAAGAACAATTCCGGACTGAAACGGGGCTACTTGTGGACGTTGTTAAACAAGGGGCTGGTACAAGCAACGATGGAAACACAGCAAGAAGATTTTTTGTTAATCCTCAAATTACTGCTCAAATAACGGGTGTTGATGAAGAACTCGTTAGAAGATTTGGAGTGATTCTTCAGGCTATCTCATGTGGAGAGTTTGTGGACGTGGAAAAATTCCGCCAATATTGTGCTGCAACAGCACGCAAATATGTCGAGCTCTATGAATGGTATTATATGCCCTCAAGCGTGCATAAATTACTCAGTCATGGTGCCGATATAATAGAGCACAATAACTTTATACCAATCGGCAAGCTCTCTGAAGAGGCCTCTGAAGCTCGTAACAAAGATTTTAAAAACTTCAGAACCTTCCACTCGCGTAAATCTAGCAGGATTGCAACAAATGAAGATATTATCAATAATTTGTTAATATCGTCTGACCCATACCTATCAAGTTTCAGGTCTAAAATATGTCAACGAAATAAACCTCTCACAAATGAAGCTAAATCATTATTATTAACTTCTTGTGAAGATAAGGAAAATATAGAGTTTGTAGATGTAGGTAATGTATCTGATTATGACTTTGATTAGTATGTGTTCTTTCCCTCAAATCAAATTATATCAAACTTTGTATTTTTATTTTTTTGTATCTTTGTATCATATTAATATAAACAGTTTACATATTTAAGAACTGTTGTAGCCAATTTGAGTTCTACTAATCTTTTATACTTTAGCTTGTATGTGTGTAGTAATTTATACAGTTGTGGCTTCCTTATTATGCATTATTTAATTTATGATATCAAGCTTAGTTAGTAATTTAAGTTTTGTAAATAAAAATATTGATGTTAATAATTTTGTTTTATTCATAATGTAAATAGTTTATTTTCTCGTTTGGCAGTAACATATCAGAATCTCCCTTACTACATTTACTAATATTAATAACCAGCTAGTTTATCTGGAAAAACACTTTGTTCATTTTAAGCTTAGTCAGTTAAAGTTCTAGGTATCCCAAAATAAACATATTTGATCAAACCCTTTCTTAGATAGACATTGTAAGTGTAAGTATGTTTGTTTGACAAAATTAATTATTATAGGCAAACAACGGCAGGTAATGACTGTGGGTAACCCTTTGAATTCCTCAAAACCTGCAACAATAGAGTTTCTATTGTTTATATGTAATGATGCTCTCGTTAATGGCGCGCGGCTTTTAAGCGATTGTCAAACAAAAGATTAAATTGTAGGCTGTAAACGACTTCATTGTAATTATTTACAATATTGTATTCTTGTTTTCTTTTTCTTAAAACTATTTCTTTTATCTATTTATATTAATTCCATATCTTTTGAATAAGGACGCTTTTATTTAAAGTTAAGTTGTATGGTGTCGTTATCTATATATATATATGTATAGTTTTATTAGATAATAATCTGCGCTGTATTAATAACTAAATGCTGGGCAAGAAACATAAACAAACTGTTTATTGAGACACAACCCCGTAAAGCAAAATTACCCTAATAAGCATTTTGAAAAATTCGTATCTTTTGAACGGGGCCGTCCGGGGTGAACGTCAAAGGTCACATGGCTTCGTAACAGACCCGGTAATAATCCCTATTAGTTTCAGCTTGACCGTAGAAGACCGAGACAAGTTATGAGCAAAACAAATTCCGTTTTCATACATATGAAACTCTAAAGTCCGTGCTTTATGGTGTTAGATTAAAAGGAAATTCCCCAAACTATTTTATTATTCAATGTACTGATATGTCCAATAAAACCGCATACCTTAAACGGATAATATACATTTTTATTTTTTCAAAAATCCTATGAAAGGGGACCTCTTTTTTTCACCCACTGTGCGGCGTGACACTGCCAAGCTTATATATAAACGGTGTCTCAATTAGTATCAGTTTAATGATATCGCTTTTTGACACAGTTCTTGTTACTAAAACTTAAACTAACAAATGGATTAAGATGAAAGTAATAATTAAGTAACCCAATTCATTTGTGATTTTGTATTTTAGTAGGTACCTACCTAACCTGTAACTTTGTCAAAAATTAAAACTAGGTACTAAAACACCATTGAAACACGATTATTACTTTAGCTTAGCAGAATCGAGTACCTAGGAGAGATACTTATCAACATTTTACATTCTTTTTTACAGGTTTATCATTTAGTGGAAGGTCGAAATCATGAAATACTCTTTTACGATGAGGATTTGGAGGAACATCAGCCATTTCCTACTTTAGAAGATGTTCTTAAAACTATAGATCTGCATGTTGGTTTCAATGTTGAATTGAAATGGACGATGGAAATGGATGATGGAACTTTTGAATTGAACAATCCTTTTGATATGAACACTTACGTAGATAAGGTAAAGTATGGTTTGAGAAATATTATATTTATAGGTACTCAGTGGGTACTCATATACTTGTAGGTATTTCATTTGTTTTTTGTTACCTAACTTTTATTTTTATTTTAGGTGTTAGAGGTGGTATTGAAAAATGCAGGTGGACGACGTATTGTGTTCTCCTGTTTTAACCCTGATATTTGCACTATGGTGCGATACAAACAAAATAAATATCCTGTAATGTTTTTAACAGTAGTAAGTACCTAATTACTATATTTTTAAGCATTTATGCTAGATGCCTAAATCTGTACTTTATTAATTACATGTTGGCTAATAATTTAAAAAAGGGGGGGTTCCTAGTGTAGGCGATGGTGGTAGGTTTCTACTACGGATAGAATCAGAAGGAGTAGTAAAATGAAAAGAGGTTTCGTATTTAATATCGGCGCGCGAGCACACGAGGTACAGGTATATAGGCAGATGCGCGCGTACAAGCGGCGTGCGCTCAGCGACGTGGTCAGATTATCACTGGCGATCTGCCTGCAACGTCTGTCGATAGCTTGCATTCACTTCAATAGATCGCACAAAAAATAGGAAACAAGGGGATGCGCTAACACTGCTCGTACAGCGCGGAAGCTATACTTGCGGGTCGTTGATACTACGCACTTTGTTTAGTAAATATTATAGTATATAAGATATTGTATATAATTATGATTTTATTTATTTTTTAAGCATTTAACTGCTAGATGTTTAAATCTAAAGAAAAGTTTACTAGAAAAAAAAATCCACGCGGACCAGGCAGCGGACGGGACTCGAACCCGCATCCTTCGCTATCCGGGCGAATGCACTGACCATTATGCTACCACGACCCTATTAGCCGCGTCGAAATTTTCCTAGCCTTAAGCTGCAAGGCAGCGCCATCTCTTCGCATTGTAGGTACCCACAATGTCAAATGAATACTTTTTCAAGAATTAAACATTTGAAAGAAGAAATAGCAATTATAGTTATGATTTTATTTATTTTTTAAGCATTTAACTGCTAGATGTTTAAATCTAAAGAAGTTTACTAGAAAAAAAAATCCACGCGGACCAGGCAGCGGACGGGACTCGAACCCGCATCCTTCGCTATCCGGGCGAATGCACTGACCATTATGCTACCACGGCCCTATTAGCCGCGTTGAAATTTACCTAGCCTTAAGCTGCAAGGCAGCGCCATCTCTTCGCATTGTAGGTAACCCACAATGTCAAATGAATACTTTTTCAAGTATTAAACATTTGAAAGAAGAAATAGCAATTATAGTTATGATTTTATTTATTTTTTAAGCATTTAACTGCTAGATATTTAAATCTAAAGAAAAGTTTACTAGAAAAAAATCCACGCGGACCAGGCAGCGGACGGGACTCGAACCCGCATCCTTCGCTAACCGAGGAATGCACTGACCATTATGCTACCACGGCCCTATTAGCCGCGTCGAAATTTTCCTAGCCCTAAGCTGCAAGGCAGCGCCATCTCTTCGCATTGTAGGTAACCCACAATGTCAAATGAATCCTTTTTAAATATTAAACATTTGAAAGATGTTTTTTTTTTCTAGTAAACTTTTCTTTAGATTTAAACATCTAGCAGTTAAATGCTTAAAAAATAAATAAAATCATAACTATAATTGCTATTTCTTCTTTCAAATGTTTAATACTTGAAAAAGTATTCATTTGACATTGTGGGTTACCTACAATGCGAAGAGATGGCGATGTCTTGCAGCTTAAGGCTAGGAAAATTTCGACGCGGCTAATAGGGCCGTGGTAGCATAATGGTCAGTGCATTCGCCCGGATAGCGAAGGATGCGGGGTCGAGTCCCGTCCGCTGCCTGGTCCGCGTGGATTTTTTTCTAGTAAACTTATTGTATATAATATAAAATTTTGTAAGTAATATGCTAGTGTAAGTTTTTCGATGTAAGTTATTTATAAATTTGTATTAGTTATGTAAGTTATAATGTAATAAAAAATGTTGTATGTAGGGAATGCAAATCTCGCGAGATTGGGGCTCAAGCGAGATCCCGCGAGTTTATGAATAACAATACTCCGAGATCTCGTCCGTCCTCAGTCCGCGCTTCGAATAAGACGTTTTTATGCTCAAGTGCAATCTTGTTAAACTCGCGAGATCTCGCCTTTTTTTCGTCCGAGATTAATCTCGCTAAAAAAAGGCCGAGATCTCGCTAGAACAAGATCTCGCGAGAACGAGATTGTATTCCCTAGTTGTATGTGGTTTTGTATAAATAAATATAAATATTATACATGCTGCCACATATACTTATGTATTTTCGATCCGGCTGCATCTGCAGACGTTAGCACCCACCAAACCATCATGTCATGGGTTACATTCATTGGCCGTTGTCTTATCCGTATTTTATTTACCCTCTACCCGCACTAATACAAAAGGTCAATAATTCATTGCAGGGGATAACCAAAAAATATCAACCGTATCGTGATCCCAGGTGTTTGTCCATACCGGCAGCTGTGCAAAGTGCCGTGAGCGCCGATATCTTGGGTATAGTCGTCCATACAGAAGATTTACTAAGAGATCCTAGCCAAGTAATTCAAAACTTTATATTTACTAATACCTACCTATTTCATAAAACTTACGACGTTATTATACAAGTCCGAGGGTCATACCGCAATTATCGGGAATAGAAAAAACTACTTACATAAATTAATTTTTATTGCTTTTCAAAGTATTTTCCGTCGCAGTTAAAACACTTTTACATTCGTTCCAACCAATTATTATAGCAGCAGCTGAAGCTGACGTGGTCAAAATGGTCGATTTATATGCTTTGATTCTTTCTTCAGGGCCTCGAAATTACTGACCACGCATTAAATCTTAGATTCTAGGGCATGTTAAGTAATCGTTGGGACTCAGATCAAGGCTGTATGGAAGATAGGCCATTAATTCAACGTCTTCCCTTTTCAAAAACTCGCTTGTTTTCTGAACGGTGTGAGAGCTGGCATTATCGTGATGCAGGATTATGCGTCGTTTCGGGAGATACGGTGCCAAGAGTAGCACGTCCACGTCGGAGTTAAAAATACCAGCGATATATTGTCGTCTGGCTTCACTCTTGTATATAGAAATAAGCTCAGGAGACATTATTGTTCTTGAGATAATCCTTGTCGAAATTTGTAAAAAATTATATACATTTTTTCATCAACCTATCAACTTCAAACTGATATTGCTCTTTTTACGAAGATTTTTTTTCCTTTTGTCAATGGCATGCGATTTTCAAATAGACAGTGTTTATGTACCAAAAAGAAAATTTATTAAATCGAAGGTACTCGAATACTGATATTTTAGGCATGCCCATCGTAATTAATTTTCAAAGCAATCTACGAAATTGTTACCTTTTCAACTATATCTTGTTACATTGTAAAACTTACTTTAGTGGTGACAGCTTTCTTTTTAACTTTATTTTTTAAACAATTACCGGTACTTTCCACATATCACATGGGGGGGCTCTGTATTTTGTATTGTATTAAATTTTCGATAATGTACCCCTCAGTCGAAACATTTCCACAAATAAAATTTGATTTCCAGGTGAAACTTGCTACAGACGCGGGCCTCGTCATATTCTGTTGGGGTGATGATAACAACGACAAAAACACTATTAAAAAACTCAAAGAAATGGGTCTTCATGCTGTGATATATGATAAACTCGACCAGTATACAACCAAGGAAGTCAAGGTAATGTATCAAGGATTTGCAGTCTTTTTTTGTTTTTCTCGCACAAACGCTTAGTTTTCATAGTATTGATTAAGTTATGGCTATGACAGGAGAGCATATTCCTTGTGGAGGCGCGAGAGTCGCAACGTGAAATAATGCGCTTGGCTGCCTTGGAAGATCTCCCTGCTACAGACAGCAGCACCTCTTCCGCACAAATACAGCTTGTCGCAGAGAGCACGCCCAAACCATACCTCGATCTCTCCGTTCGCAACAAAATACAGGAGCGCTCCACTGTCACTTCGTTGGAGTCGCTCGCGTCCTCCATCGACTTGACAGACGATCCCGCAGACAAATTTTTGAAGAGAAACAGAGAGATAACTCCGACGCCCGTAAAAGAGACCCAAGTCAAAGAACAACATACATCTTTCCGGGGCCTCTTCCGCGCCGGCGACGTTTCAAAGGGACTCCCTAAAAAGTCCCGAAAAAATGATTGTGATCAATAATTAGATAGCCAATATTCGAAATGACAAACTTGTTAGTTTTTTTCTATATTTATGTATGATACATTATTTTTTGAATATTTTTTTAACTAGCTGAAATTTCGTAATTACTATTATTTAGTTACTTGTTTTATTTTAATATTTATGCCAAGGAGTATTTGGTAATCAACGCGCTTTCGGACGAAGTACCTACACTGTTAAAAAAATGAACATACAAAAAAAAAATTACAGAATTCGGTAAAATATCTCAATTTTTTGCGGAATTTTGTGTACGTTCACATATTTTTTTGGGCAGTTTACAATTTTTATTTAAAATACCAAATGTTTACTTTATTTTACAGAAAAAAATAGTAGCAGTACCTAAGAAATATATTTTTACGTAATTATTTGCAGTTACACATGTCAATGAACGGGATTTTCACATAAAAAAATATAAATTCTACACTAGGCAAGTGTAAATTCCAAAACATAAAAAATAATTTATAATAATTTCTGGGAAAATAGATATTTTTAATTATAGTGATAAATACCCTAATTATATGCAAATTTACAATATCAGTGATTTTCACATAAAAAACCATTGATCTCACCGAATCGATGTATGTTGTTTTACAGATAATTGAGTTATTGCTAAATAAACATGTAATTTATCAAAAATAACATGTATTTTTACGTAAATATTTGCACTTACACATAAAGATTTTTTGGGAATGAAGGTTTTTATAAAAAAAAGGCGTGTGCCGTCAAAAAATATATATTTCGAGACGCACGACAGAAGTGATAACTTAAGTCAATCTAAGCGTCGCTGCTGGTTAGGGTGAGAGGAGCCTGCCTACCGCTGATGTATGCGCAGTATGGGAGATTCTATAATGCTCCCTTTTGTGTTGTAAGTATAAAATAAATAACATTTATTCGTTACCTACTCCAAGGTTTAGAGATATGGAACTCCTCGTATGTTACAGATTTTCTTAATCTTAATTTATACATGCGGAAAATCAGCAAGTCCACCCGCTGTAAATGTAAAATATCGTGTGTCATTTTTATTTAAATATAACACTATATGCCAGCACTGTTAAGATGCTAATGGCGGCCGGAGTAGCGACACAAAACAGACATAACGGAAAGTAATCTACTTAAAAAGAACGCTCGAGCAACGCACACATAGACACCGCTCACGGACACGATCTGTCGAACCAGTTCAGGCCACTGCTTGTGTGAGTTTTGTCCGCTACTCCCTCCGCTCGACACCCGCATCTATGAATTGCATTGTGCAAAAATGGAGCAACAAAAGAACAATTTATTATATCTGTTCAATAGTCGTTTGTTTACATTCAACATTAAACGACGAATTGTCGTTTCTTAAATTTGCATTAAAACAATAATATTAAAATATTTTAATAACAATAAGTTTATAATTCCGTTCTTCCTGTTTCATTCTCGACAATAAATCAATCAACTATATAGGTACGAGTGCCACTACCGCGATAGCTTTTTGTGCACAAGCCAGTGTTGACAATCCTAAAGCGACCGCCGAGTATAGTTGTGCTAAGTGAAGTATATATGTTACGCTCAAAGATCGAAAACGCTCAGTGAGCGAAAAAATAGCTCACAACGCGTTGTGGTCATAGTGAAACATCCATATGGCGAAATTCGTGTTATGGCTCTAATAAAAAACGCCGTTTGTTCCCAACGAGTCAAACTGTAACACGTTGGGAGATCTTTCTTAAATAATTCCCAACCAGTCACACCACACTGTGACACGTTGCGAGACCTTTCTTAAACCATTCCCAATCAGTCACACTCGGACTCATTAGGCCAACTTGTTAGGTATACTGTTACATTATTGTTTTAAACTTTCATGGTCACTAACATTATAGTAATATAAGTTATTTACGGGATTGTTACCATGTACCTTGTTTTTAACGAGTTTCCGATATTTCGGCGCTGTTGCAAGCACCATGATCACGGAGTAACTGGTTACTCCGTGATTATGGCATTTGTTTTTAAAGAAGGTACATGGTAACAATCCCGGAAAGAACTTATATTACTATACTGTTACATGTTCATTCTATTTTGGACTTGTATTTATATAGGTGAAACCTTTTATCCAATCTTTGAATCAAAGATTCCATCCTATTCTTTAAAAATTTAATATTCCTGTTAATCTTGATAGCCTAAAAATCCAAACTCTGACCTTTTGATTACCTGTTAAAATATTAGTAGAATATAAAGTCAATTTCTTTTTGGAAAACATTTTTAATTAATCAAAGTATGCACCGTTATTATCTATGCACTTTTGCCATCTCAGAGGTAGTTCATTGATCCTTTTTCTAAAAAAACCATGGGGGGCGAGAATCAATAAACTCTTTGAAGGCGGTTTGGACTGCTGCATCGGAGTTGAATTCCGGAAAAAATGGTAATCTGTCGGAGCAAGGTCCGGCGAGTACGGTGAATGTCGCAGACATTCCAATTGTAGCTCATCTAACTTAGTGGTTGCTTGTTATGCAGTGTGTGCGTTGTCGTGAAGCAGCAGTGGCCTAGAGCGATTGACCAATCTTGGTTGTTTAGCAGCTATTTCTGCCTTCATGGTTTGCAGTTGTTGACAATAGATATCTGCCGTAATCGTTTGGCCAGATTTAAGAAAGCTGTAGTGAACGACACCGGCGCTAGTCCACCAAACCGTTCAGTTCAGTTCCAGGTTCCGTTCGAGAATCCGTTCAAGTTTTTTTTACTTTCCCGATTTGCTTCAAGTAGATTAATACAGTTTTGTCACTTACCCCGAAGCCTGCAGCTATCTCTGAAGTGCTTTGTGATGGATCCGCTTCCACAATAGCCTTTAATTCTTCATTTGCCACTTTGGTTCCCATCCGTCCACGGGGTTGGTTTTGAAGGTCGAAATTTCCAAAACGAAATCGTTGAAACCAAAAACGTACCGTGCTTTCTTTTGCGACACCAGCGCCGTACACATCATTAATCCTTTGAGCTTTTTCTGCAGCATTGGTGCCACGATATAACTTATATACTTGTAACGATATACTTGTAAATATACCGATATTTCATGTTTTCCATAGGGCGGTAATAAGCGACGCCAAAAAAAAAATAATGAGGAAAAAACCAAATCAATGACTGTTTTCAATACTCAAATGTACCAGTTAAATGAATTTTTAAATTTGTATTTGGAATTCTTAACCAAAGAGGAAATATTTCAAATCAAAATGGTCAGTACGACAAAACACTAATTTCATATGTAAGAACCTAATATTTCAACAACCTTGAATTAAGCACCAAACACAAGTTTATTGTAAGTTGATGATAGTAAGCAATAATAGGAAAAATGTTGCCTTCCTTTTATTACAGCAAAAAGTAGCAGTGTAGCTGATTATCTAGTGAAATTAGAGCTAAGGCGTAACTTATACCTCAGACATACATACAGACGTAACATAACCAACACCAAAGAGTAGATTGGTCTAACGATTCACCGTGTGACTGGTTGGGAATTATTTTAAGAAAGGTCTCCCAATATGTCACATGTGTGACTGGTTGGGAATTATTTTACAAAATTGTCCCAACGAGTCCCAGTGTAACAGGTTACAGTGTGACTCGTTGGGAACAAAGGAAAAACGCGCACGACGCGTTGTGGCAATCACAGAAAGACCAAATAGCGAAATTCGTGTCGTGGCTGACATGCTATTCGATCTCAACGCGTTGTGGCAATGAAGAAAAGCCATGACGCGTATGGAAGATTATTTGATTACGACGCACACTACTTTCCGATATGGATCCTACTAGGCCTAGGCTGGAAACGTTTTGGTAGATGTCTTTAGGAAATATTTTTATTTTATAAAATCACTGCATAACGTGTTTGTCATTATTAAATATGTTATATAATTATATAAATTACAATAAAACGATATTTCTTATTTATTGAGATAACTATATTTAAAAAATCAACGTATTAAGTAATAAATTACTGAATACAAAATATTAGTCATTTGTAAATTACTTATAATTCACTTAAAATAATTAGGGATTTTAATTTTTTCATGATAATTTATTATTCTTTCAAGTAATAAAAATATTTAACACAAACATAAATGTTTATTGATCACCAATAAATAACAACAATGTACTTAAATAAATTACTTATATTACAAATTACTATAACTGTGAAAAATAAGTATTTGATTGCTATTTATTTTTACAGGAACTAAGTATTACTGTGGCATTTTGAGTTGCATTTTATATTCTTGGAGCGACACTTGCACTTTTTATCAATACAGTATCTTTTGCAGTGGCCCATTATAAACCCTTTCTTACTTCCAGATGATAACATAGATGCTGAGCGAAGTGTTAATGACGAAGTTAAGGGCACATCACAAATGTTAATAAAGTTGGTTTCAGAAAGTGTAAACTAATTACGTGCATAAAGTATCGAATGTACCTTCCTTGTTTCCTAACTGGTAGTGACCTGATGGATTAATGCTCAGAACAATAGACATAACATTCCTGGGTGCTGCACGTCATCTATCAACTTACAACCTGTCCGTCATGATGGTTAAAACAATGAATGCTCAGAACGCGTCATGGCTTTTCTTGCCACAACGCGTTGAGATCGAATAGCATGTCAGCCACGACACGAATTTCGCTATTTGGTCTTTCTGTGATTGCCACAACGTGTCGTGCGCGTTTTCATTAGAGCCATAATACGAATTTCGCCATGTGGATATTTTACTGTGACCACAACGCGTTGTGGGCTATTTTTCCGCTCACTGAGCGTTTTCGATCTTTGAGTGTAACATATACATGAGATTACCTTCTGTTATGTCTGTTTTGTTCGAAGCTGTTGGCGCTGTTAAACTTACGTAAAGTTACGTGCTTTAATTTAGGACCCACCCAAGGTTAAATTTCGTACAGCAAATACACGATATGAACTAAAACCATTATATACGTATAAAAATAAATAGACTCCCAATCTCCTAAAAAATTGCATCAAAACATCCCTCTTTTTCCGTCAGGGGTTAAAAACGTGCGAGTGGCGCTGTGTTAATAATGCCGGGTGCCAGTTGGTTTTGATGCGTTGTGACCTATACATGTCAATATAGTGTGTCCCAAAGTAAAGCACGTAATGTAGTAGATGTATAAGAAGAAGTCGGGATATAAGGAATTTTATTTTTGTGCCGAATTAATCCGAATTATATCATGAAGAAAAACTAGTTATATTAGTTTTAAAAACCTTCCAGCCGACTTTTCTTATGTAGGCAAATCTATTGTCTGCATCTCATTGATCGACGAAATAATACAGGAAGTTAATAGTATTTTTTTTGTTTATGTGCTTTAATAAGCATCAAACTGTTGTTTTTTTATATTTAAAGAACATTTTACCATTACGTGTATTAAATTAGTCTGTGATACAATTAGTTTTTTATTTATATCAACCATATGTATTGTAAATTTAATAAATCATAATTTAGTTAATTAAATACTCTTTCAGCATCAAACAAGAGAATTGTTTTATTTTATTAATATTTTGGGTCGCTAGTTATTTAACAATAACCCTTTTTATAACATGTCTGTGCATACTACAGGATTCAACGGTTGGGTCGTCGATGTCCGAATAAAAAAGTATATCTTTTTAATATTCTCATTAATAAAGACTTGAACTAGTTATACTGTGTTTTATCACTGGTCTACAAGGGTGTCATTTTATAATTTAATTCTGGACCTAATTATCACCTTCGAATTACGTTTTGTGAATATTTTTAATTCTTGTGTGATGATGTGGCAACAGGTTTCAAAGAATGTTAAAGGATTTTGGTGGCGCAGCTGTAAGGTCGATGACCTGGCTGCGCCAAAGCTACCATGAAATCTACCTAAGGAAGAACTTTCTATCCCTTTTTGATATTTCTTTGACTCGTTAAACACAACCTTGACATACGCGCACGCCATGTGATATGTGAGGAATTCCTTATAGTGAATTTCCAAAAAACTGCATTTAAAATATTAAGATATAATTTATTTCCAACAAAAAGTTTCATAAAATAAATGTGTACAGAATTAATTATATAAAATTACATTATTAAGTACTTACAGGACGGAATGTTTGTAATTAATCACAACATTATAATTAAATCTTAACAAAGGTCTTGTGGAATTATTACACATGCTAATGGTAGATATATTTTTTTTATATAAATATAAGGTTTTAGCGTATTTGTGAATGCTATATTCAAGATTATAATTATTTTTGATTAATAAACTATTCTAATGCTAAACACGGTACATACGTAGGTTCATAGTAATAGGTTGGGAAAAAAGTCTTTTCGCATTATGATAATTATGTATAAACTTGTAATAAAATCTTTTTGGCTATACAATTCGTATCTGACTGGTTTTAGTATCATTTAAAAGTTTAAATTTTATGGAACATAATTCCAAATTGAAATTAGAAAATTATGTGATTTTCATTTATTTTTCTTACTGTCGAGATGAGAGAATCTAATGAAGAAATTAGAGATATTTTAAAATACTACAAAAAAGGCAAATATGCAACGCAAGCCACGAAAAAAATTTGTGATGTTTATGGACCTAGTGCAGTGTCTGTGAATGTTCATTAATTTGGTTTAAGCGTTTTCAACATAGAGCAACGCGGCCAGGGGGCCATTCCCCTAACGGAAATGCTTTGGAAAAAGCTAACGCTTTCGATTTTATTTTGTTATTTCTGACCGCCGAAGGTTTTCAAATACCTCACGCTCATTTTTTTTAATGTTGTTATTACCAATGCAAAAGAAAAAAAAAGAGCGCGAGGCATATGAAAACCTCCGGCGGCTAGAAATAATAAAATGAATGAAATCGTAAGCGTTAGCGTTTTCCTAAGTATTTCCATTAGGCGGAAGGCCCTCAGGAGGGGTCGGCATTCCCCTCGGTCAATTTTCCCCTGCTGTTGGACCAGCCTCAAAACAAAACAAGTTGCGCTCGGATATCTCACTAGACTGAGTCAAGATCAAAAATCCCAAAATGTTATGTAATTTGCTGTAAAACATTATCTGGAATATTAAACTTTCAAAAGGATGGTGTTAAATTTAACATCTAATTAGAATTATTAAGATATTATTTCTTATTTAACCACTTTTCAACACGAAATTCATAATATTTTGTTAAAAGTCAATCGTCGAACTTATTTGACAAAACAATCGACTCGCCAGTACTTTCAGATCTGTCAATAAAAAATCGTAAATTTCATCTATGCCTGATTTAGCGCTTATATTTTTTATGTGTGAGTGTAGTTATTACAATTTCGTTTTTGCGAAAGTATGTTGGACTGCATTTGTGTGCATATTCCTCCCCCCGCAAAAGGCGGCAGAATGATTTCAGTAGTATTATGTCAATATGACTACTCCCCTTCTAGCCGCGTCGGCTATGTTGCTCTATGGTTTTTAATCCGGATTGATGTCAAAGATGCACGTCGATCTGGTCGCCCTCTTACGGATAAAACAGATTAAACAGATGCCCTTTTTGAAAAAGTAAAGCAAGACCGGCATATCGGTAGTTACGACGTAGCTGAAGAATTGACCACAACACAGTTTTGGTGCATTTTAAAATGCTGGGTACACAAAAACAGTTCCATATTTGGATGTCTCAAGAGCTTACTGAAATAAACTTCATAAACCGTGTACTCATTTTTAATTCTTTATTACGATGTAATGAAGCCGAACCATTTTTGAAGAAGCTGGTAACTGGTGATGGGAATTAGATCAGGTACGACAAGAATGTTCGAAAAAGGTCGTGGTCAAAGGCCGGTCAGGCTTCACAGACTGGCGAGACCCGGATTAACTCGCAACGAGATGATGCTGTGTGTATGGTGGGATTTGAAGAGCATTATACATTATGAGCTGCTACCGCCAGGCAGTAACATCTATTCAGGCAGGATTCTGAACTCTACTGCGAACTACTGATGCAATGTAACCAAGAAGTTAAGAGTAAGCGGCCGAAATTGATCAACAGAAGGGGTGTGGTTTTTCATCATGATAACGAGACCTCACAAATATTTAGCCACTCAACAAAAATAAGAGTTTGATTGGAATGTGTTAATGCATAATCCTGACTCCTGACATTGGACGTTTAGTTAAATGTAAATAAACTTTATTAAAAATGTTTTAAAGTTCATATAAAATGCGAAGAAATTTCTTACCCAACCTAATATATAAATTGGTTCTGTTAAGTTGTGATGGCTCACACAAGCGCTCTCTCCGCTCTTTTTTTATACATCGAAACATTACGACGGACGCCAGTCCATTATGGACGTAGTGTGCTAACATCGGGATTTTAACGCGCCTCTAAAAAGCGTTCATGTGAACGATCAATCAACCATATTTTAAATAACCACTTTTGAGCTTTGGTCTATATAAAAAAAATCATATTAGACAACTCGATAAGACTTAAGTTACATAAGTATGTACATAAACTCGGTTACACAGATGACTAGCTAACAGGATAAAACAATAAATGATCGAGAAAATTACATTAATTTATGATTTATATTAAGCTGACTTTTCAGTTTAGAGCTTTCATCCATTGTATATTTTATTAAGTACTACATTGTAAATAAAATTAAAACAAATTAGATTCATTTTATTCCAATGAGAATAAATTAAATAAATAAGAAAAGGCGAAAAGAAATTTATCATTCTCTTGTATGGGAGCTCCCATTAAATATTTATTTAACAACAAACTATTTGCCAGGTCTGTTTTGACAAAGTAGCTTAGATGACTACTTAGAGGTTACTTTGATTATCTTAACTAGCAATCAAAGCACACTTTGACGTTGGCATCCAATCCAAGTGGACTTGGACCGTACTCAACTTTATAGGTAAACCGCTAACTGAGACCTCGCATGCGGGGTACAGGGTTTGGGGGAGGACGTGAGAGGTGCGGTCGGCGGGCACTTGTACTTTTGACATCAATGTGCCTGCCGCCCGCACCTCTCATGGTCCCCGTTTTCGTCCTCCCCCACACCCTTTACCCCCAGTTCAATATTTTTAAAATTACCTATTTAATATAACAGATAAAAAGATTTCTAAGCAGCTATGTAAGCTCATGTTTACGATTTCTTAGATATTTTTAATTAATTTTGGTTTTCTGGACGGTTTTATATAAAGTTGCTTTAGACGCATTTTTTTTTATTATTTTTCAATTATTTTAACCAGGCAATTGTATTTATGGCACACTATACATATGAGATGATAAATATCTACAGTTATTAAGTAACTTTTATGATACTCTAAAAATTGTAGGTAGTGAAGTAAAATTTGTTTGATTTATGAAATGACGGATATACAACTACTTAAATAAAATATTATTTCTAAAACACGTTTTTCTTACAAATGTTATAAGATTATATTGATTTCGCCCATCCGTTTAATTAAAATACCTAAATACAATTTTGGTAATTTTAGTTTTCGAGTTAATGTAAAGTTTGAAGAGAAGAGTCAGCCTTAGTACATTTCAAAGCAAAATAAAGTATACCTAACGTACTCTAGCTTGTATAAAATGGTCCAAACACTTAAGTAACCCACAGTATTATACAAATATGTAAATTATGTAAAATCAGTAATACATTTATTGATATGATGTTAAGTAAAAGGGACGGAATAAATTACAATACCTAATACAACTAATAGGTCGTTTGGGCGTTTCGGGCACAGTCATGCCATACTCAGTACTATTGTTTGACCAGTCACGCTCTGTTCCCACACGACCATTTTGTTATTCCACAGTTAGCTTTACTACGAGCGCATGAGGGAAGGTGGTAACGTTAAAATGTCTGTAATTCTAGGTATTTACATAGATTTTATAACACAATAAAGTAAAGGCGAAACATTTTTCGTTTATACAAAATTATAAAAGGTGTAATTTAGTTTAAACCCAAAGACAGGGCAGAACAGTGTAATAAAAGTAGTATCAGGTAAATTAAAGTCGCGAAAACATATTTAAAACCATAGTGATAAAAGTAGTACTCTTAGCGAGCGTGAGCAAGAGAATATGAAAATATACACCTTTTAATATTTAGAAGTAATGGTGCCGGGTCAGGTTAACTTATGAAGAAACGCCCACTCGACTGAACTTTTAACTACTAACATGTAGTTAATTAAGATGTCAGCTACTTATGTAATCAATAAGTCCATAACATGTTTTCATTAGTAATTTGAAAATATTTAGTAATACCTGCCGGTGGTTTTGTTTGTAGATGCTCCTCTATAAATTGGCATGGACAAACATACTTCTCACCGTGACGACCAGGAACCATGCTGCCAAGGTTCAATTTATTCTTTATGACTTTTGCACCCCATCTTGCGATATATCGTAAATACAGAAGGATAGCACGTTCCTGTGAACAGAATCTTCGGTAAATAAGGGTTCGGTAAATAAATTATCAATTAATAATATAGTCGTAAAACATTAGCGTACAGCCGTGTCTGCCATATAGTGCATGTAGTATGTGGTCTCCATATTAAGTCTTCTACAATACATAACTCCACTTGCAGATTAAAAAAAAAAGGTTGACGTGACCATTTAAAGTGATGCAACTATAGCTAAAATTCAAAATTGTGACTTGCCAAACAATAAAAACTTTAGTCAATCCAGGCCACGGCGTCTTAGCCAGTGGTTGCAGAGCGGACAACATGCGCGGGTATCTTTAGGTTCTTTGTTCCGCAAGATTTCCTCTATGTATTGACAAGGGCAAAGCGCCGTAGTCAAGTGACGTGGGGCTGCAGGATTGCCACCGTCTTCATCTAGTGTCCAGTCGAGGCGACGTCGCAAGTAGTCTTTGCCCCACCGCTGCAGGTACCGGAGGTACACTGGCTCTGCCATACCCTGCACATTCATATGCCTTTTAAGCGCTTATTGCTCTACGCAATGTTCACCTGTACTGTTTTTTTTGGTCTTATATTACTTAACACCCTGAGTCAACGTGATCAACCGAATTGCTGCCGTGGCAATAAATGTTATATCCTAATGCAAAATGTTATGCTTGAGTTAAAAGCTATTCAATATAATATATAAGAAGAAAAATATAATACGATTAGGTCGAAAATGAAAGCAATGGAAAATTTTCAAATATAGAGAGTAGATTTTATGTTTTAGATTTAATGCATCGACTCAGGATAGCATAACAGCTAACATATTAACTGCAAGGTGGAAAATCTTGTAGAGTAATGAGCGCTTTATCTATATCTACTGACACCATGTTAAAACACCGACACCATATAAGATTCAAATGTTATTAATATCACACTAATATTATAAAGGCGAAAGTTTGTGAGTATGTGAGTGTGTATGTTTGTTACTTCTTCACGCCTAAACGGTTGGAGCGATTTTAATAAAATTTGGTGTGGAGTTAGCTGACACCCTGGATATAACACATAAGCTACGTTTTACCGCGGGAAAATATTTTATTCCCATGGGAAAATCGATGAAAATGAATTTTGTTTAAGTAGGTACATATTTTTTGACATTAATGTCAAAGCTATTCTGATAGATTAATATTTCATACATATTTCTAGGACAAGGATATTGTTGTATTTTTTTTAAGTATTTAATTATGACTCGCAAACGTAAACCAAATCTTTCGGAGGTCACAAAGAGCTCCATCCATGTTAATTGCAAGACAGCAAAAATTTACTTCAGTATTTTGCTTCTAAAAATGTGAATAGTTTTTGTTTTTAATGTTAATACACAATTTATTTTCCCTAATAAGCCGCGGGTAACACCACGGGGCACAGCTAGTAAAATATAAAAAATGGCTCACTGCAATTACACGCAAGTATTTTAAATCATAGCATCACAATAGACGGATTCCATCGAATCGTGACAGGTAAACTGTCATAACTTTTTTTAAAATTTAATTTCTTATAACTTCCTTAATTGTAAAAGCATCATAGCTTTTCCTCTCACAGAGCTCCGCTTTGACACAATGTGGTGGTTTTAGATTTATGAAACTAATAATTTAGAAAATAATGGTTCCCTTTGAAAAAAAATTAACTGCGCTTTGGATGCTTCTTGGATTCTGCTCGTCGATGTGTTGGTTAACGCACGGGTTCTGAATTTGGCCTCGTTTTAAACGTTAAATTTGTGCTTTGAGATTCTAAATTATGTTGTCCCTTTTTTTGTGGGTTGTGGTTAACTTAATCAGCGATTTGGTAAGTCTCTTAATATTAAGACTCGATGGATGTAGGCGAGGACGACCCTCCGGACAGGGGGCCGACCTACAAGATGACGCCATGATGGCGTCCTTACCTTTATTCTCACAAACTCAATTAACAAAATCTGCTCAGAAAAGACCTTCTACATCGGATGATGACACTATAAAACCGAAAAAACTTACGTCTCCTTCTGAATCATCTCAAACCATGTTCGTCTTGCCGGAATATGACAACAACAATAAATTGAAATTCTCCAACGTGGACAAGGCGCCATTTTCAGTCCAGATTTCCAAAAATGAGGAGTTAAGCGTCCAATGTAGCACTTTAAGCGCATTGAAACTTGCACAAATAATACATAAAAACCGTGTCCCGGGTATAGTTCAAGGCGGTATCAAATCCGTTGGACGGAACAAAATCTCTGTCGAATTTAAAACTGTAGATGAAGCCAACTCTTTTCTAGACAACAATATCTTAGCAAATAATAAATTATCTGCTAATATTCCTAGATATCAAGTATCCCGTATGGGTCGAAGGTCGAAGGCACGAGGGCACGTGGCAGGTCGCCCATGCGCTGGACCGACCAGATCAAATCGGCAGTAGGCGGCCCCTTGCACGAGTGCACACTTAGCACAACCGACAGGGAAGGATGGCGTCGCATCGTGAAGAGGATTATGGCTGCCCGGAACCTGACCGTTACCTGATGACCACGACCGCTCTGTCAAGAGTGAATCGGCAAAGAAGAAGAATGGGTACTATCAGACATGTCCCTAAAGAATGGTCTATGGAAGAGCTGGTTTTGTCTTTAAAAACACCCAGTAATAGGGATGATGATTAATTTTTTTTTCTTCGTTTATCGGGTAGATTATCAAAAAGTATTGGACACGTATTTTTCTTATTTCACATAATATAAGCATTGCAGAGATATATTGATTTGAAAAGTCGCATGACGTCACGTTTGAGTACACTTATAAGGGAAAATTCACTCAAAAGTGACGTCACGAGCCCCTACTCCCAAACTTTGACGCGCTATAACTTTGTCATTTTTTGGTTGATTGCCCAAAGAAAAAATACGTGTCCATTATTTTTCGATCATCTAACTGACGAACGAAATAGAATTTCGTTTACTGTACCCCGTCATCACCCCTATTGTGGCCCGGTTATTAAAGCAAGGCGCCTCTCAAGAAAACTTTTTATAGACAGCCAGAGTCAATGGGTCCCATCATCCACAGTAGTCCTGACTTTCACTGGTCAAGTCTTACCTGAAAAGGTATACTGTTTTAATATGGCACTCCCTGTTGAAACATACCAACTCCCAACAATACAATGCCGCAACTGTTGCCGCTTCGGCCATGTAAGTAAGGCCTGTGTAGTCCCAGACATTGATGCCTCATGTTTTTTATGTCTCGGTAGGCATTGTAGCCTTATGCCGCGGCGACCCAAACTGTTCAGAGCACTCAAGACAGAAGTCAATAAAAATTGTCATGTCTGAGGAAAACATCTCTTACTCTGAGGCCTCCAAACGCTTCCGACCCGCTCGCATGCTGTTTTCAAATTCTGTTAAGTCAACTCCCCCCACACCTTCTCAGTTTAACTCATTCACTACTGATGCTCCACATTGTTCACCAATGACCCCTAAAAGGTCTTAAAACAAAACTGTCACCTTAAATCAGCGTACAAGAGCTCCGTCAGGTCCTGGTTATGATGTAGAAGCCCACTAAAACTTAATAAAAACACCGGCATATTCCCTGCCAAATGGCAGTGCATTACAAGCTCCAAGAGAGCCTCCCTCACCAACCCCTAATGATAACCTCGCAGAACTATTGACTTCAGCCTTGATCAATATTTTGGAAAAATTCTCGGATATCATCCCCCCATACGTTCTGACCCTGCTACACCAACTTATTGTCATGTTCCAAAACAAAAATAATGGATCCAGTTCTCCTACAATGGAATGGTAGAAGCATCAGGAATAAAAAACAGGAACTTATATACCTTATCAACAAGTTCACTCCGGTCGCCCTTGCCCTCTCTGAGACATGGCTCAGACCAGATAGACGGTTTTCTATCTCGGGATTTGCGTGCCTCCGGGATGACAGGGACGATGGTCGGGCTGGTTGCGCCTTATTTATTAAAAATTAATAATATCAATTTATATACCTCACCTAATTTGGAACTGCTTGTAGAGCTGAATAGCTTACTGTCTCGCATTCCTGGACCCCTTGTTATCCTGGGAGACTTTAACCGCAAACATGAATTATGGGGATCCTCCTCTTGTGACCCTCTATCTACCTATCTAATAGAGGCATTTGATGACCTGAATGTCTGCGTTCTAAATGATGGTTCACCCACTCGCAGAGTCGCTCCTGACCAGAACCCTAGTGCAGTTGATTTATCCCTTGCTTCCTCATCATTGGCCCCTTTAACCTCTTGGAAGGTTCTCCCAAACACACATGGTAGTGACCACTTTCCAATCCTCACAACTCTTCATACCTCACCAATTCATCCTAAGGAATGCTCTCCCCTTTTAAAATATCGTACCAATAAAGCAGACTGGAATACTTACTCTTCCTTACTCGATAGTGAAATCAGATCTCTCGAACCAGTCAACAATGACAACTTTTTGGCACAATATGATAAACTCATTGAGGCGATTCATACTGCAGCAAGTAGCGCGATCCCTTTACAGAACTCTGCTATGAGGAAGCTTCCCTCCCCACCATGGTGGGACTCAGATTGCACCCAAAGCATCCGCGAAAGAAAAGCCGCTGAGAATATTTATGCAAATAACTTGACCCTAGAAAACTACTTCCAGTATAAAAAAGCAGCAGCTAAGACCCGTAGACTCCTGTCAAAGAAGAAATCCCAAGGCTGGAAAGACTTTTGTGAATCACTTTCACCACGCACACCGCCATCTTTAGTATGGAAAAAAATTAAATCTTCCCAAGAGGTCGTTGACTAATGATTATGGTATCCAGTCCAATGACACTAAAGGACTCTTCTCCAGGCATAGATGGGCTCACATATTCTTTTGTTTCCAAGTCCTCCCATTTTACTAAATTATATTTCCTCAATTTAATTATTTTTTTTTTTCTAACAGGTGTAGTACCAAGAGATTGGAAATCCCAAATTATTGTCCCAATTTTAAAATCTGGCAAGAACCCAAACGAAGCTCATTCATACAGACCAATCGCCCTCTCCTCAGTAATGGCTAAAATTATGGAACACCTCATAAAGAATGGACTAGAATGGATACTAGAAAATAGAGGCCTCTTATCTAGCACTCAGTTCGGCTTTAGAAGAGGTCTCGGTACAACAGACAGTCTCAGCATCCTAACAACAGACATCCGAGCCGCTCTTTCTCGAAATGACCATGTAATAGGAGTATTCCTTGACGTTGAGTCTGCATATGACAATGTTTGCCTCCCGATACACAGGCAGAAGCTGCTACAGCTGAGTATTCCCGAGAGAATAGTTAACCTTACTTGCAACCTCTTCATGGAACGCTCCATTATGATCCGCAACCAGGGCAACAACCAACCTCCCAGGTATGTATGGAAGGGCCTCCCTCAGGGCTCGGTCCTTAGTCCCTTCCTTTATAACTGTTATACCTACGACCTGGATAGAACAGTAAACTGTTTCTGCAACATCCTGCAATATGCAGATGACATAGCTTTATATGCAAGCGCTACAACAGTTGTCGAAGCTTCCAATAGATTAAACACCGCCTTACACTATTTGAATGACTGGTTTAAAAATCACGGCCTCTCTATCTCAGCTAATAAATGGAATGCAATTTTATTCAGTAGGAAAAGAAACTCCTCCCAATTTAATCTCCTTTTAGAAGGCCAAACTATAAAATCCCAAGATTCTGTAAAATTTCTAAATTTAAATTTCTATTTTTTTTCTATTTTTTTAAATTTCTCGGCTTTGTTTTAGATGCAAAACTTTCAGGTGTCCCCCACCTCAACTACATATGTAAAAAAGTAGAATCAAGTATCAACATCATGCGCGCTCTCTCTGGAGTGCGCTGGGGCTCTCACCCTTTTTCTCAAAAAATTCTATATAACGCCATCGTCCGTAGCCATTTCGACTATGGCTGCTTCCTTTTGGAACCATGCCAAAAACTTGCCTTATGTAAACTCGATAAATTACAAGCCAGATGTCTACGAATTGTTACAGGCGCCAGAAAGTCATCCCCCATCAACGCACTGCAGGTGGAGTGTGCTGAGCCTCCTCTACACCTGCGTAGACAATATTTAAGCGACAGATACCTATGCAATGTTCTCCAAATATCTACTCTGAGTGAACTTGTCTGTAATTCTGCATACTGGAACCATAAGATCCCTCCAGCATTGATAAAAAGATTAAACTAGTTATCCAACTTACCCACTATACATCAAACAGGAAAAAATCCAATTTTCGAAATCAACTACAAATCGCTATTTACCAACCCAAAATCTTGCTTAACACTGGGATTGACAGAAACACCGCAAATGCTAACGTAAAGTTCAACAACATTCTAACACAAAACTGGAATGAATGGCTCCATATCTTCACTGATGCTTCAAAACTATCTGATGACAGCAACGTTGGATCAGCTGTGTGGATCCCTAAATACAAAATCTTACTAAACTTCAAATGTCCCTCTCAAGCCTCAGTATACACTGGAGAGAACATTGCAATTCTTGAAACAGTACTGTACGCAGAATCTCACAAGACAATAAATGCATTATATTCACGGACTCGCTCAGCTGCTTGCAGGACATACAAAAACTACCATTCCACTCCAGATATAATACTTACATTACCTTACAAACCAAAGACGCGCTGGCGAGGTGCGCATCTGCTGGCATTGAGTTGATTTTAGCCTGGATTCCGGGCCACAGGGGTATCATTGGCAATGAAACAGCTGACCTTTTTGCAAAAGAAGCAACTCAGAATGGAAGCCTGACATATTACAGATGCTACCCCCGTGATCTTCGTACATTGGCAAGACCTCAGATTTATAAACCATGGGACTCTCTCTGGCAACAGTCCAGAACTGTTAAGGGTATATATTACGGCAACTTACAACCTGATATTCCACGGAAACCCTGGTTTTTCCGCCAGCGCAACATGAATAAATTCATCACTTCTATAATAATCAGACTACGCCTGGGACACGTAAATACACCAGTTTTCCTTGCTAAACTCCGTATTCGGGACAACTCCTTGTGTGAGTGTGGACTAGAGGATGGCTCCGTGGAACACATATTTTTTAGATGTCTGAATATCCAGGTACATTTATATGACCTATAACCTAAAAATATCCCAAGACCAGTAAATATTCCGTTCCTATTAACGCAGGTCAATTCACCCTTTATTAAAGTTCTAGTAAAGTTTATAAAGGCTAACAACATTGTCTTATGATGTCCAAACTATTTATGTACTTTGCCGTGTCATCTCTTACAATCCATTTCCAATGCTTTACTACACTAATAAAGACTAACAATTTGTATGCTTGGGTACATGTCCGCTTGTGATGTTAAATGTGTTGTCCTATTCTAGAATCTCAACTCCACGCGATAGCTCCACGAGGAAACCAGGCTACCACACCGTACAAAGAAGAGTACCAATATAACAGTGCCTTTCTTAACCCTAACATTGGCAGAATCATCGTGCATAATGATGAAGCCATAATACCCAAAGTGGAAGTGGATGCTTTTCTGTTTCTACAGATCCAGGTCCGTCCAGTAAAGGAACTAAATAGTCTAAAACAAGTTTTTAAAACCACAGCAAGCAGGGACCTCTTAAATTAAAAAGTTTTCGACAGAACTATCTCGCTATTTGTACGAAAGTATAGTGCATTCAACTCGTATCATAGCGCGCAGTCATCAATTTACTTATTGACCCAGTTCTGTTTGTGCAACGATTTTAATTAAAAAATATTTTAGTTAGTTCACATTTTTTACATATAGTTAGTTCACATATTCAAACCGAGCGTGTTCATACCATTACCATTTACCAGTTTTAGAAGTATATTGCGAAATTCTTTTCTTTTTATTTCACATTGATTTTTGGAACACGCCCCGCACGCACCCTACACGATTATCGGTCCACAAACTGGATTAGTTAGTCTACTTACAAACTAAGCATTATAAATAATAACACAGGTCTGCAACAAAAATGTTGTCTGGTTGTTTTTAACTGATTTCTATGTATTTATGTGTACTGAAAACTAAAAAAATACAAATTATAGCAGCAATTTGATTGCTGCTATAATTTGTATCAACTGCTGGAACATCGAAGCTTTGATGTAAACAAGAACAAAACATTGTATATCAATTTATTTATGCCAACAAACACACCGCAGCTCCCTCTGCCTTTGCTGCTATTTGTTCAGTTTGCAGCCTTAATGATTGGTTACACATGCAAGCTCTTCTTATTAACAAATTATTTTAAATAGACCTCATTCGTTTTTCTGTTTGTTTGCACATACACATTTGCATTTCAACTGGGAGTCGTTTAACGGGTTAACATGCTTCTCTTTGGACATTGAGAATTGGACATAAAGTTGAAAATTCAAGTCAAGAGCAATATAAAATGACTAAACATGAGATTTTAATGTGTAGAAAAAGAGCCTGTGCTAGTAGTCCATAGAATGAATAAATAAAAATCCAATTTCCAAACTCCTTAGTATTAGATGTATATACAGTCGCACTGTGTTTGTTTCATAAATAGCTGTCTGTTTAGCAGTGAAAATAGAATGTTCAAATATTATCTTAAGTTAGTGGTTAGGTAAATAAATCTACCATGGATAAGCTCTGGATGTTGGTTCTAAATCAAGATTCCCAAAGCATGAGAATGTTAAGGATATGGCATGAATAATTGTTTCAATATTAGTAATAGAAAGTTTGCTTCTTATAAAGGACTGTGATGTACCATCAATATCGCTATTTAAATATTCAAAATAAGAAACAACTAGTATTATAGACTGTTAAGTTATATTTAATATAACTTATTTAAAGCAGTCACTTCACAACTCCTAATGCTACCGATTTATAGACACAACTCTTTCGGAACACAAGCACTCAGCTTAATCCAAGGGAATAATTCTTATAGATATATAAACATACCTGTTTACGTGACAATCTTGTTGACTGTGCTCCTTGAATAACAATGTCATTAGCAGAAACATCTAATCTCTGCTCCCAACCTTCCATTATGGTTCGACCTTCTTCACTATCAATAAACTGTTGAATGTGGGCAATACATGGTCCAGAATCAAAATATAAAAAACAAAGGTTGACTTTGTGACATGATATTTTTCCTCTATCATCTAAAGTTATAACAAGCTTGTGCTTGTTAAGCAACTTATTGACACTAGCAAGACATTGTTCTAAGCCTTTAGAAAGTTTCAATTTTATCCACATACACAAAAATATGGCAGCTGCATTTAATATTAACCACATGACACCAAGAGAAAATAAAGTTAAACCTGTTAGTCCTGAAAATAGTAGTGCCAAAAGAACAAGAAAAGCTAAAGTTATCCAACAAACAAGCACTCTTTTATAACAAATATTGTAAAGAGTGAAACGACCATCATTAACAAGTAACTCCATAGCATGTACATATTCTTCAACAGTCAACTGAAATGACACAAAATATCACAGATTAGATACTTTAACTCAAACTATATAGCTCATGTAAATACAAAGAATATCTACTAATATCAACTTACAGTCAAGCCTTGAGCCATCAGTTCTTCAGGAACAAGTTCTGGTCGAAATCTAGCTGGAGAGACCCATGGCCATTTTGTGTTTACAGGCAGCACTGTTACAATTATATCTCCATTGCCTTAATATAAAACAAAGCATTGTAAGTAGGAAACAATTAAATTCAAAATAATGTATCAAGGAATAGTAAGTTTTACATGTTTCTTAAATTGTCCCTAAACTATTTAATTTTTCAAATATTGTGTCATAACAATATTACTTCTTATAAAATTATAAGAAGTCTCAGGTAAAATTTTACTTAAAGTAAATATAACTTGTATAAAGAAAAAAATTTACAAATATAAAAATCCTGAACTACTGTTCATATCGTTTTCTTTCTTAGTTCTATTTAAAATAATTAAATCAGAACAAGGTATAATTTATTTCTTTTAGAAACAAAAAAACATTGAATGTTATTTTAACTTACTAAATCCATGTCGAATGTTAATAAATTCAACATTTGTAGTTATGGTAGTCTGTTTGACTGGCTCCGAAACCCTTTCGCTGCGATCCAGGTTCACATGTACAGATTCAGTCTTTAAAACGGCAGGCGGATGATTACTCGAAGAAGAAGCCACGTTATCAGAAGAAGTACTTGTTTTTAAATCGGGTTCTTCATCTTGAACACTAGTAACTATTTGTCCAGTTTGAATTTCATCATCAAATTTGACCCAACCCTCTCGAGGTTTTTCTTGGAGCACACTGCCATTATAATCACTTTTGTTTTCTTTCATATTACTCATTGTTTCCTAGATTACTTCTTGCAACTCTTAAAATTATTATTTTATCGCATTACAAATTAAAATAAAAGAACACAACTAAAAAATAAATAAAGGATAGTAGGTATGTACTTCAGTTAGAATCAGACAGAAGCAGTGTTTGTTGCCAGATCTTTAAAGCGATATTTCTGTAATTTTCTTTGTCAAATGTATGAAATCCGTATTGGGAAATTTTTAATCAAATCCGTATGAAGTCCGTTTAAGAATTTAAACCTCGCTGATTGTCAATATAATATTTTGTAATTATTTTACATAATGATTGACGCTGTGAAGTTTTTTTCTCCACAGCTAAATAAAATGTCCATAACTGGTAGTTGGTCAAAAATAAAAGCGAGCGAGCCTTACAGTAGTCACGTATGATGTGAAACATTTGAAACCTCACCTTATATTAGTAAAAAAATAAATAAAACCTACTACAAAAGAAATAAGCCATTTGAACATTATGTTCTAAAATCGAATCAAATAGTGCGCTCTTTCGCGACTTCCTGTTACACACTTCCGTCCTATTTCACGAAATCACTCCCATAATTTGCAGGAAAGCGAAAGGAAAGATGTCATCAAAATTTGGACGATTCAAAAGAGTTGTATTGTGCATCCAATAAAATTTTAATAAAGATTTTTTTTGACTTTTGATTGATATTATATAACATTTTCATTAATTTTTTTGCGAGAATCTAGAAAAAGACAAAAATATGCAGTTCTAATATTCTTACTTGTAGTCATTATGCTTATTATTGTATTAAAACTGAGTTTAAGTGAAATGGTTCTCTTAATCTAAAATAAATCTAACAGTGGCCCTGATTCTGGCGTGATTCTCTGAACTTAAAACTAAATTTAACATCAGTCTCTCCTTTTCATGCTGTATAGAGAATAACAAGGATACACTGTTGTCAAATTTAAGTTTAGGTTTAGAGAATATTAATGTATATTTCTAAATAAAAAGGTAAAGACTGATGATGATTTTGACGTGATTCTTAAAAATTCTTAAAACTAAATTTAACATCAGTCTCTCCTTTTCATTCTGTATTGAGATTGAGAAGGATATACTGTTGTCAAATTTTAGTTTAGATTTAAAGAATCATGCCAGAATCCACACTCTTGCTGTTTTTAGTTATAAGTTTTATTTAGTGAATCATATGAGAACTAGACTCAATTATATAATTTATTCAAAATTAAGTAATATAACTACTATGTTTTTTATTTACTATGCTAAGACTTGATTATAATTCTATAGTTTTCTTATTCATTGATATTTAAGAAGTGTCTTCAATCATTTCTTTCGATATTTCCCCATATTTAATTAATAACAAGGGATACCAAATTCAGTTTACTATTTACAGATGTTTTAAAATTCATTTTTCTGATATCTGACAAAGTCTGCCACTCTTTGAAACGATCTCCACCATACGTATATTTATTATATTCAATTAATCTGAGACCATCTCAGATTAATTGAATATAATAAATACGAGGCTAGCATATTTCACCAAATCTTCAAAAATGGCAAAATTTTGCCACAAATGGTCACACAGGACGGATTGGTGATTGCCGATTGGTTAATGGCAGCATGGTGGAAAAGTAGTGAACATAGACAAGAAGATGATGTCCACAGACAGGTTAAACATTCCACGTGATGAAAATCAAGGAGTTTATAAATACCTCTGAATAAGTACATAAGTACGATACTTCAGAGGTTTATAGAATGAGATAATTCCTTATCTCATTTCCTATTACATTTTAAGTAAATGATTAAAAATGTAGATCTAATCAACTAATTATATGTTAAGTGCTTAATAAATACCATGTTAATTTATGAGCTTTAATTTTGGTTTCATCCTTAAATAAAATAAAAAGGTTTTTAAATATGTCTTAAATTACTTTTAGTTACTAAAATTAAAATTTTAATAAAACAAATGTATTTTATCCTATTCTTAGAATAAATTTAAGCAAATTTATTCTGTATTTTACTGCAACTATTAACTTTATTAATAATTCATTAAAAGACATAATTTTAATAAAACTATTGATTCGAAAAAAATGCGTTTCATTAGTACAAAATACTCCAGCAATATGTCTTATTTTTAATTGAAAACGCGTAAAATAAGTAGAGAAAGAACAGGTATGAAAATAAATAACTTTAAAATTTTGCTGGCCCCAAGGCCGCAAGGAAACGCACAAAATTTTGGTATCGTTGGGTCAAGGTCAATAGTCCCTCATCATCATATGAGGTTTGATTGCTACCTTTTGCTAACCTACCAAGAAAAAAAAAGGATTTTCTTCCATACATTTTTTTCGTTAATATTTTTTAAAGTATGAGGTCATTTTCATGAAATATAGTGTCAAACAATATTAATCAGCATTTAATTTACTATCAATTACATTTTTTTAATAGCTGAAATTTGCAACGTTGATCCTAAGTCCACTATTTTAAAAATCCGAACCACTGTGTGACCCCAAAAGTGGCCTTACCCTCAATTATTCATATTCTGTCATCACATCACATTCTGTTATCACTAATGAAGTTTACGTTGAGAGAAAAAAATCAAAGCAAAAAGAACTTTGCAACGCCATCTATTGACGCCTGTTGATTTAAGCGATTTTGAAATAAATAACACATTTTTATTTAATTGTAGAAGATGTAGGTCACTTTTGCGCTGACAGCCTCAATTTATGGCCTTGTATATTCCCCTGTATTAAGTTTCTATCAGAACTTATTTCTCTGTCGTTCATAATTAATGCCCAGAAAGCTGGCCCTTTAAAAGCTATGTTTTTATTTTATTTTGATTAAATAAATTTATTTTGAAGTTACGTTGATTTTTTTTTATTAAATAAAAAAAAGGAAATTATTTAGCGCATAATCTAGCGCTATTTTAAAGTGAGTTTTTCTCGAAATCTAGCGCCTTTTTTATCGTTTTAGCGCTCAATCGGATTTTTGATCTAGCATGGCGGCACTGATAATATGCATGGTATTAAGTTATTAATGAGTTTTTGGCGGGATTTCATCGAGTGCGGTTGGCGTCTTCTTTTATTTATTCATAAATTCGTTCATAGTGGATATTATGAAATAAAATTGGTGTGATTTTGTGTTACAACCATCTGCGCAAATGAAGAATAAGTCGAATCGAATCGTAAAATATACGCTATTCCGGTCAATTGGACGTGAGAACTTTATTGTAGTGTTGACTACCTCACAGAAGCTTACCTAAAGAGCCAACTCGATACATTTCGTGCCAAACACTCCAAGAAACATAAAAAATACGTCACACCGACATTCGTATATCAAAAAAAGAAGATCAATTTAACTTTAGACTAGGCTGTATGGGCATTGTTCTCTTTGCCTTCCCTAAAAGGTAGAATCTTAAAATAAAAAACAAAAAAAAGCAATAGTGGGGTTTTGAGGTTAAATTACTTTAGAGTATTCGGAAATTAAATTAGACAGATATTTAAAATTATTAACAGTTAGCATATTACCCAATTACAAATGGCATTGAGAAATAATATTCACCAGTATATCAAAACTGTTCCAAAAGATTCAAGACCGTTTGTCCGCTTCTATTCTGAGCAAGTTGATACAAATGAGGGCGAAAAATCTGTTGATCCCACAAAAGATAGAACAACTAATGTACCAGTTGAAACAAGCATGAAATATATTCAAAGTGCTGCATATAAACAGACCTATGGAGAAAGTCCTGTTTGGGTATTGTATCGCCGTAACCACAAAGGTGGTTTCGCACCTAAAAAGACAAGAAAGAGTTGTGTCAGAAATGGAGTAATATCTACGGGAAATCCATGCCCAATATGTCGTGATGAATATTTGGTTTTGGATCATAGAAATACTGGTTTGTTGAAGCAGTTTATTTCAGAATATACTGGACAGGTATGTCAAACATTGCCACAGTATTTTGTATACTTTTTATTTTATTGCCTTCGAAGGCAGATATGCGGTCACGCCACCTGATGTTAAGTGGTTACCGTCGCCCATGGCCTCTCTTTTTAGGGTTCCTTACCTAAAGGTTAAAAACGGGACACTATTTCGAAGATAACTGTTGGTCTGTCACCATGCTGTATCTCAGAAACTATGTCTGTTGCTGCTCTACCAACAAAAAATGTTATCTTTGTTGTTATAGCAGTAAAATAAGTATTATTAAAATCTAAATAAAATAAATATTTAAGGGGTGGATCCCATACAACATGATTTTTTGCTGTTTTGTGCCCCATATTAATAATGGCAACAGATAGAGATTTGAAATATTCAGTAGCTACAAATTCAGGTCATTTGATTCTATATCCAAACCCCCCATTCTTATTGTTTTTCTTTGAACTTACTTATTAATACAATTTCTGTTTATTAAAAAAATAATTTTGAATTCTAGATATTGGATGCTTTTAAAACTGGACTGTGTCAAAAAAAACACAAAGAACTGCTTGTTGCAATTGAGAGAGCATGGGACCAAGGTTACTTGACATATGATGTACCGTTCAGGAAGTATGATTATTCATTGTATGATAAAAAGACCTCATCATAATAATGCAACACCTATATTTAGTAGATATAAATAACAGTTTCATTACTATTAGTTTATGTAATTACATAGCTTTAAATAGCACTTTTCTTTTATTTTCTTCTTTCTATTTCTTATGAGGTAAGTATATTATAATTATTATGGCATCTTTTAAATACATATGAGTAAATTATGTCTACCATACCAATAGAGATATTTGCATAAACCATCTAAAATAGGTTTCATTTTTGAATTATTTGGAGAATAAATCTGCTAAAAAGTAGTCTTATTTCACTGTGATCTTCTGTAAGTTTATTCCCTAGACAGACACATCAAAATAAAAAACCTTTATTACCTTGCCTTTTAAAGCATTTTTATTAGGGATGCAACAATACGTTAAGTAAGTTTTTACGATCATTAATTATCCCCAACACTCATACCTTTTATTTGACATCGACAGCTTTAACCCAGAAAACTGAACAAAAAAATTAATTAATAAAAAAATCTTTTTAATGTAATATAAAATAATTAATAAAAAAAGTAAAATTTGTTTCTTTTACTTAGTCTCCGAATTTTTAAAATAGTGGACTTAGGATCAAAGTTGCAAATTTCAGCTATTTAAAAATTGTAATTAATAGTAAATTAAATGCTGATTAAATTTGTTTGATACTATTTTTCAAGAAAATGACTCTTTCATACTTGAATAAAATATTTACGAAAAAAATGTATGGGAGAAAATCTATTTTATTTTTTTTCTTGGTAGATTAGCAAAAGGTAACAGTCAAACCTCATATGGTGGTTAGGGGCTATTGACCCTGACCCAACAACACCAAAATTTAGTGCGTATCCTTTCGGCTTTGAGGCCAGCAAAATTTTAAAGTTATTTATTTTCATACCTGTTCTTTCTCTACTTATTTTACGCGTTTTCAATTAAAAGTATTTATGAATATCTTATTTAACAAAACAAATCTTAATAAGTTCGCAATTAGACATATTGCTGAAGTATTTTGTACTTAAATTATGTATAGTCCAGTCAATGAAGCTTTTCACCTCCGATTTCGTTGAATCTCCATCGATTTTCATGAAAATTGGTAATAGGTGGGGGATACCTTAAGAAACAAAAGTGACATATTGCCAACTTGCGCTTTTGCCCTGGGGGTAGATGCTAACCCTTCTCGGGGGTGAAAATTATTTTAATAAAAACGACTCCAGAAAACGATAGTAAGACAGATTCTAAGCAAAATTTGTTATATAATGATTTTAGAATAAATGAATACTTTCTGAGTTATTAAAGATCAAAGGTTGGTAATTTTCGTGATAAAAATACATGTTTTAAAGCGGTTTTTCATAAATAACTCAAAAACTATGAGTTTTTACAAAAAAAAATATTATTACCAAAATTGAAGCTAATAAAAAATCAAACACAATATTAATCAGCATTTAATTTACTATTAATTATAATTTTTAAATAGCTGAAATTTGCAACTTTGATCCTTAGTCCACTATTTTAAAAATCCGGACCACTGTGCGACGCTTCGCCGGTGTGTGGTTGGTAGATTTAAGCATGCTTTATAAGTTAAGTAAAATAATCAATAAAATATAAAACTAATTTTAAAAATAATTATCACATTTTAAGAGAAGTTTTCAATTAACTTGGATCTGTTTCTTTGAAGAAGCAGTTCTCTAATAAGTGCCGATTTTTCTCTTTCCAAAATTGATATTCGTTCATTTTTTCTATTCACCTCCTGAAACAAAATTAATAGAGTGTATTAGTGAATCTTGCAGTTAAGAAAGATTTTACTATCTGCTAGGACAAACATCGAAATTTTCAATAATTTTTAGATAGAGCGTGATACAGACAAAATAAATCTTGTCCATTTCGGTAAGTCGTATAAAAACTCCTTGGATATAGAATACAGGTGTCCTACGGGTTTGTCACACGGAGGGCAAATATATATAATACTAGCTGACCCAGCGAACTTCGTACCGCCCTAAAAAAATAGGGGTTGTCCAGCGGATAAAATTGTGAATCTAAACCATTCTCAAATCCCCTTGAACACACACAAAAAATTTCATCAAAATCGGTCCAGTCGTTTAAGAGAAGTTCAGTGACATACACACTCACAGAAGAATTATATATATAAAGATTGAAGATAGGATATTTTACTAAAAGAAGACATGACTTTTTTTTTAATAATTGTACTCAACTACAATAAGAAAGAAACGGTGCAAGGTTTGTACAGGTATCGCTTTATTATTATTTTCCGTTACTTACAGTAAGGAAATCATTTATTTTTAAGTGAGCAGGTACAAATTGGTACTTGCTTATTTTATTATTTGATAACATTAGCTGTCGGAAGCACGGAAAACTTGAGAGGAATTTTTCCTGAACAAAATTTTAATTTCATGATCTTCCTTTCATTTAAAATGCTATGTAATTTAGAAATAAGTAATCATTATTATTAACCCTTTCGATGGTTATCATAAAATACGTCATGTGTTTTACAAGGCGTCGCGTCGTACGGCATTGTCACACGGAGGGAAAGTATATTAAATATTGAAGATAGGATGTTTTACTGAAAGAAGACATCATTTTATTTTTAATAATAAACAGAACTGCTTTCACAGGTTTTTTAAAAATCCGGAAACCAAACTCGTGAAATGTGAAAAACATATAAAGTATTATTGTTCACTAAATAACATAGCATTTTAAATTAAAGGAAGATAATGAAATTTTACATTTTATATAAAACACATAAAAATCTGTGACAGTTCTACTTTTTAAATGTTTTCCTTCAGTAAAATATACCACCTTCAATATTTATTATACTCTCCCTTCGTGTGACTATGCCGTGGTGTGCCCTGTATAGTAGCTCCGTAGGGCAAAACCAAGGGCAAATTTCAGTACTGCTCTTTGTGCTCTTTCTAGCTTGCATAAGTGCGTGTCTTTGCAACACTTCCCCAAACACACATGCTGTACGTCAGTATGCATACAGATTTACACAGAGCCTTAAATGCCGAGATGTGAGAAGTTCAAAGTCTGCAGCTATACGTAGTGAAACACACCAACATTGCCCATTTTTTTCAAATAATTATTATTATTTCTGGACTTTTCAATGGCAACCTGAGTATTTCTTTTTATTAGATCGTGGGCGCGTAGTGGCGTAACAAAATCTAATAATTTTCAACGTTTAATATGAGTTTTGGAACATTTCGATGGCAGGCAAAGTTATATAGACTTTAAGCTAACATTGCCCACTGTGATTTCTGAGGAGAGTATGGACTACGTTAAAATCTAAAAAAACCGTTGGAAGAATTTAAGAAAAGATGGCGATTGCATAAGGAACTTGAGAGACAATCAGGACAGTTTTTGACTGGGCAATGTTGCCCTGTCATTTTTCTCTTTCCCATACAATCTGCATTTAGGCTATCGAAAATGCTAGGGTTGACACAATCACACATTACATTCGAGAAAAAATATCGATATAATTTTTTCCATTCCTTCAACAATATGTGATTAGGTAAAGAAAAAACAAGAAACAAAGACAATATATTACAAATACGCTTTTTAAATATAATAAAGTTTTAATTTTAATAAGAACAATTTTATTTTTATTTGTTTATACTTGTACATATCTAAATGTGTCAAAATGTCTTATCACTTTGTTGTGATAAGACATTTTGACACATTGCAAACAAGAAACAGAACAGTGAACATAAAATATCTCATAATTCACATACCTCTGCAAGCATTCGATTTTGAGATTTAAGAACCGAAGAATTGGAGTTGTGGTTAGCTACGAGGGCTGTGGTAGGCAAGGCAAGGTTCATGTGTAGTGACAGCTGGCCGTGCCGCCAGCCCGCTGCCAGTGCACCCAGTTGGCGGTTTAGTTCCAGTACGCGTGCTCGCAACAGCTCTAGCCTTTCTTGGTGCGCTTCACTCCAAGGTTCCTGCATAGGAAACACTTTAATCCTGTTAAGCTATTATAGTTAAATAAAGGAATTATTAGACACCATCCGTGGTGTAAGTCACTGAACAGAAAAAGCTGTAAGTCAAGCGCGAGTCGGACTCGCCCACCGAGGGCTCCGTACAAAGGAGATTGCTCAGCTTCCATACATGTTTGGCCTAAAGACCAATAATCATGAAAAATTATTTCCTAGAGTCGAAATTATATATAAATTACAGTAGAAACGAATATTATTGACGGACACCCCTGAGAACTTCTATAAACCATATACACTGAAAATATTAAAATAATAAAAAACAAGTTATATAGTAAACTAGGGAAATTAAGCCAAGTACCGAAATTATGGATTAAATTCAGGTATACAGAGCATGTAGATTAACAGATGGTTGCCTGATTTTAAAGTTAATGCTTAAGAGTAATTTTTTAAAACAGGTGTCATCTATGCATTTCCGGTTTTATTAAGGTACTCTGTGACAGAAACTGTGTGATGATTATGAATGAGCCACAGATTAGAGATTTTTTAAACTGTCGTTAACCAAAGAAAGCTAAGAGATTTAGGTTCCATAGCCATATATTCAATAGCTTCATTATTTTTGTTATGTTTTTAAGATAACCATATTTTAGATTTTTAGTGTATCACACCTCATAATTTTATTAATTTATAGTCAGGAAACGTAGGCCCATAGATAGATACCTTAAAGTCTAACATATATATTATAATGTGTTTATGGAGGTGTTTGGCGAAAAATGTATGGCAATAGACTTTATGATGTCGCTTACCATCTATTATAATTGTCTGAGCACATTTGCATGTAGTGAAAATGATAATATAGTTGTGGATACATGGAGCACCCCCACTAGAGTCCGCATCACACAAATTTTGTTTGGAATCAAAATCGCTAAAGTCGGTGCACAGTGTTTTATGGAACCAAAACAATTTACACCTTAAGATTTTTGCATAAATCAATTATTTATACCCTAATAAAGGCAAGAGTTCAATTCTCAGATCACTATTTCCATTAAAAAAAAGATATGAAGTAGCAAAGTTTTTGAAATTTGAGCATTAAAAAATTAACAATTTAATTTCCTCAAAAGACGGTTCCATATCTGTACATGAGATATTTGCCACTTGATAAGGAATTATTGAAGGCATAATTTAGCAATTTTATTTTATTTATAAGTGTCCTAGTTTCCGAGATTTTTTTTTTTAAATTTCGATTTTTAATTTTTTTCTCCAAATATCGGCAATAGTGGAACCTGGATTTAGTACAGAAAGGTTCTATAAGCCAAGTTCTATCACCCATAAAAAAATCAGGTTTCACTTTTGCGGTTTTAAGAAGTTATGACAGAATTTAGATAAAGGTCAACTTTCATGATCTAGGATTGTCACAAAGGTCAACTATGAGTTAAATGAAAATGTTAAATTTTTTGTTTGTTAATTAATACCGTCAATCAATTGAATAAATTAACAACACTTGTGGACGAATACAATATACTTACATATACTAGGTACCTACCTAATGTAGATGTGATAATGTAGGAATACTTTATGTTTGTTCGACCACATTTTAACTTTGTACCTTACACGCTAAACGGTAATGAAAAAATGAACTATGTTGCTTGAAAAAAATTTCAAAATTCATTCAGAATCATTCAGGCATTCGATCAGAAAATAAAAACAAATCTTGGGCATAAATCAGTTAGTAAATGTAACTAATATTGTTACAAAAAAAACGTAGAGGTAAGCAGGCATGAACTTGTGTCTAATTGGGTCTCCAAAACACACACACAAAACAAACAATTAATAGTTAATACTCAGACCCGAAAACGAAAATCGATATTCATTATAATGACTTCCGCCTTGACTGGGAATCACCATAAGCGTTCCTTTTTTGCAAATAGAGCTTGGAGCCCATAAAAATATGTTAAAGGTACTGTAGTAAGTTCCTAAAATCTACATTATTGTAAACTCGTTCAAAACTAATACACAAATTTATATTTTAAAAATTTTCGTTCGAGGTCAGGTTCGGTGTCAACCCTAGCATAAAAATTTAAAAATGAATATCTTCTAATCGCCGCAAAAGTGACACGTGGCTTATTTATGTATGATAGACCACATCCGTAGGTTTATTTCTATCGAAGTTCTAGGTTCCACTTTTTCGTTTTTAGGGAGAAAAAACAATAAATACGAAATACAAAAAAAAATTCTGCTCCCAAACCAATGCATTTTTTTAAGCTAAAGAAACGCGTTTATACGCCTCTGATTATGCCCGATTGACATATATTTATTAAAAAAATATATTATTAATATTCACTTTATAAAAAAATATTCTAGATTTCATAGGTCAAAGGTCACGATAAGTTCATGATTTTTTTTCTCAAAAAGTATTTGAGTTAGACTTCTGGGAATTGAACTCATGCCTTTTTTAGGGTATAAATAATCTATTTATGTAAAAACCTGAACATGTAAATTTTTTTGGTTCCATAAAACACTGTGCGGTGGGGTGCAGGGAGGTCAGCCCCGCTGTGATTGGACGCGTCAAGGTCAGATCATATACTCAGTGCAGCGAAGTGATGAGGGTAAGATCGATTTTAGAAAATATCGATATTTTCTAACGATAAACAATTTAGAATAGAGGCCTAGCACTTTGGTGCGCAAATGCGTAATCATACCCTCTCCACTTTCTTCCAACGTTCTAATTACATGACGCGACTAGTAACTACATACTAAATTATATATAAGCAACACAAAAAAAAACACGTCCAGGACAAGAAGTATTAATGCAACGATATTAACTACCCTAGATACAACAAAACGAACAAAATCGTGGCCGAAACGTGTCCAAAAGATACATTGGACGATCCACGGAGGTCCGTAAGATATCGCGTGGTCAAAAACAATATAATGCCTTATTTAAACATTGAAAGTCACCTTTAATGCATACGGCATAAGGTCTTAATTAAAATGCATGCGTCAAGTTCGTAAAATTATACGATTTATTGTTATATATGTGAAAGAATATAGACCTTATTTTTTTTGACTTTTCACTCGCAATTCTGAATGCGCTGTTAGCAATATAGCAAGTACAGACCGCGAAGAAAAGAGATGGCTAAGGGCGACGTATAACCGACCATGCATTTGAATATCACAAATATTTTAAATTAAATCAGTTTATAGTAAGTATTACAACAATAAAATTTGCTTTAAAGGCGTTAATTAAAAAACATTAATTAGATACCCGTCGAAAAAACGACACTTTACGTACTATTAGTATATTTCTGCATTTTTTCACGGAACTCTTTGGCATCTTGACTTTTCAACGGTCCGCGTGTGACTGTGTACTAAGAAGTGCTTGAGTGGAGTTCAAGCACTTCTTGATTGGGACACATTTTGAGCGCTCGTGGTGTATCTAGGGTATTTAATATCGTTAATTCTATGTCTTTAAACTACTATGCGCACTTAATTTCATACAAACCCGTTTAACCGTTTTAGCGTGAAAGAGTAACAAATATGCATACAAATTTCGTTGCGTATGCGTTTTTTCAATTTTATTAGGATATGTTTGAAGTCAAATAAAAACTGTTGGTTGTATACTTATGACATCTATTATTGTATACGATGAAATAAATAGTTTTTATTTATTTTTTCCATTTCCATAGCTGACAAACTTATCGATAAACTTACACGTTGAGGCATGAGCTGCGTCTGAGTCACTAGCAATACACGTGCCGGTGTGAGAGCGAGATAGCATATATGATGTAGCCCATGCGAGAAAGGGATAGTATAAAAAGACATCAACGCGTTCACCAAAAAATAAATACAATTAACAGCAATTTAATATAACAGTATTTTTTTCTTTTTGTAATGCATTTAAACTAACCAGTGAAAAGTAATACCATTTTTTTGAAGACTGGAAGTTGTACTCGACTTTCCACACAATTTAATTGCACAGTACGGCATTTTTTACAGTTTTTTAACACGAAAACGAGAGAAGCAGTTCGATCAACGCTCGGTTACCGAATGAAACGATGTATCGCGACGTCTGTAGGCGTGCCTCACGCATAGGTAAAATACTACTTAAGCTTGGCGAAAGCGCTTGCCCTTGTATGCGGACTCTAGTGGGGGTGCTCCGTGTGTGGATATTAATGCCACAGTGTAATAAAAAAAATGATTTATTTTATGGATCTTTACAAAAAAGATTTGTTTTTATGTTATATATAAACAACTTCGATCAGTATTTGGCTGAATGTTACTATACCCATAGCCATTAAAAATGATTCGTATGTTTTCCAAACCGTTAAAATTAAAAGTCCTTTTTAATGTAAATATATTAAACAAAGGTGTCCGTTGAAATCTAATGACTGTAAATTAAATTATAAATTACGCCAAGAATTACCGTGTATGTCAATATTTTTTGTGCATTTGGGCCAATTTGAGCAATCTCCTTTGTTGTTGGTACATTTTTATATTCTTTCCCCGAAATTCTGTTTCCGAATTCCGAAACCTATAATTATTAATATATATATATATATAAAAGTATTTTTTGATTTAATTAAAATATACAGCTTTCAGATTTAACAGACCTTCTCTAAAAGAAACAATAAGTAGTTTAAAAAAATATGCCGCTGCTGGACCTCGATAATTGACAAATTTATATTTTTCAGATTTTCCCCTGTATTAGGTATGTCTTTAAAGGTACCTACAGGTAGTTCTTCTCAAAAGTACTCTTATCAATGTTTATTCCCTTGAGTGCCGAAATAAACGTTTTTTGCGGCATTTAAAGATGGTCCGACCGTATCTTTTTAGAGTTCCGCGTCCAAAGAGTAAAAGTGAAACCCTACTGCTGACACTGACGTCTGTCTGTCCGTATTCCATGGGTCTATAGATAGTTGAAGAAATGAGTTACTTGCCCAAAGCCGAATATTTCGATAACAACTCAATTCATGGAAATAGACAAATTTCAAATTTTATGGTCCAAAGCTCGTTGAGTATAATAATTTTTATTGTTTTTTTATTTTCATTAGCAAGGAAATGGGGTACCATCAAATTTGTATATTTTAGACCATTTTTGTTACTGGGTCTATCCTAAAATCGGAATTAGTAAAGTATGTTAATTTTAGTATTAATGATGTCCCATGCTATATTTAAACAACAAATACTGAAAACGCCGTAAGTTGTATTGTGTGTGACGAAAACAAACAATTTTTTTTGTCTTTCGCGGTTCGTTTCGCGATTTCTGGATCGAAAATGAAGTATTTCATTGATATTAAGTAGCTTCAATAACAGGTTTAATATATTAAGTTGTATATTCACACTTTGTAAAATAAATAATTAAAATAAAATAAATATTTAAGGGGGCTCTCATACAACAGACGTGACTTTATTGCTCGATGTTATAAATAATGAATGATGTATAAATAATGGTACGGAACCCATCGTGCGCGAGTCCGACTCGCTTTTTTTTACAATAATGTAGAAGCTTGATTTTTCCACAGCTTCAAATCAAGGGATCGTAAACCTGAGTACCTATATGGCTTATATTTGAACTCAACCGACATCGCGACACCTCGACGTGTTCCCGAGATAAAGAATATTGATAGACAGACGGACAGCAAAGTAATCCTATAATAGTGAGGTGTATACATTTTGTTAGTAGCGGCGACTGATTGCGCCGCTACCCCGCCCTCGACTTCGTCACGGGCTAACATTCGTCTAATCGTTTGTAATAACCAACATACCGCACTTGTGTCATAAATAACTATTTCTTATAACATAACATAACATAACAGCTAAAAATTACCACATACGCTCCCATACGCCCTGCATAACGCATTTTTTCCTGTACTTCAGATAACTGCTTTAAGTACCATTCTCGTGCTTCTTCGACAGCTGACAAACCTTGTAATAAAACATCTTTCTCTTGTTCAATCTGTTTCATGCGCTTTAATAAGTTATAATCTACCCCGTTATGCAGGGTGTGCCTACGAGGTTCACGACGGCGGGACGTGCGTCTTAGTTGTGATTGTGACTGAGTTTCGTTAGCCGACCGGCCGTCCCCTAATCCTCTACCTTGCTCATCTACAGTTCTTGATATGTCTTCAAAATCCAATTTCGTCTCGCCACTCAATTCTTCAGTGTCAAGCGATGCTTCGTCCGCAGTTTTATAACTTGATCTTGTCGTTTCTTTACGTTCTGTTGCAACATTTTTTTCTAATCTTGGCGGTTTTGGAGGACCGTAGGTTTTGTGGGAGTCTTGATTTGAAACAGCTGTGGGTGTTTCGCGCTGTCGTAACTCTGACATTGGTTGATCTTTTCGAGACATCAAGTGAGGCATGCTGATAGTCCGGTGTTGTGATGAATTTTCTGCCGTTTTCATTACATTCCAAGGTGTGTCTAAATTTTGTTGATTGTTGTTATCTAGTAAAGGAGCTGAAGGAGGGCGATGAATTTGATTCATTGGCTGCGTGTGAATTCCGGTGCTATCGCCGTTGTTATTAATAATTCTTTCTGTAGTATTTGTCGTAGTTTCAACTTGATTACGTAGAAGACAAATTTTAAGTCCTGTACAAAATCGGTCAAAAGTAAGCAACCCATCATGTGAAGCAACCTTTTGAAGACTCTCTATAACACCTCGCGGCAGTCCTTTCGTGCGATCATCTCGCCAACGATTTTCTATGTCATTCAGCTTTACGTACCCGGTGTGTTTATCATCCATAATATCAAACAGTGTACGCATGGCTGAAACAAACTGTTTAGGTAACGATTCCATAGTTATCGATGACGCTTGGTTCATGCTGATTTTAAATAACACCACTTTATAAGTCTCACACAAATTTAATTAACACACTTGTTCACATATCGACTTAAAAGTAGGTAGGTTTTTAAACGTTTCTATTTTTGAAGTTGACCTTGTATTATTCACTGAACTCCTTTGGCTAATACATAAACGAAGACAACGAGGAATGGTTGTTTGTTGTGTGACAACATACCACATACATGAGGACAAAAATCTGACCGTTTGTAGACTGAACGTATAGTAGGCGACCCGGCAAGTGGGAGGGAATTTGCGAGAGATAATAACCTGTGTGTGCGAGCAGGAGAACCGGTCAAACGGCATTTCGGCGGTCGGACAGGTAGACTGTCACTGCAGTACTGCAGTGTGAGCGGCTCCGTCTCCGTACAACATGTCATAAGTTTCTCTACTGTGCGTAAAGAATGTGCCTATGACTAGTACTTATCAATGGCTCAAAATATTTATACTTATTAACCCATTTTTTCTGAATATTTACTATTTAAGAACTTAAATGTTCCTACTGCGAAATAGATTCTTGAAATGATGTCACAAAGCAGGTATGTAGTACTGTAGGTGTATGTATATTGTATATGCATAGAGTATGGAATTATCATAGAGTTGGTAATAAGCCAAATATATTAAGATAAGTACCTATTTAAGGCTCCTGTTTAAAACGATCCTCAAGAAAATAGTAAACCATCACCAAAAATACATATCCTGCTATTATTTTTTTGAGGATAATTTAAATAAGTATTTCCTTTTATTATTAACTAGCTCCCGACGGTGGCTCCGTCCCCGTCAACTTTAGTTTTGCGCAACTATGAGTTTTTTCCGTGAATCTACATGACTAAGTAGGTACTTTACTTGCATTATGGTACATACTGATGTATATTAGAAACTTAAATAAATATGAAACCATTATACAAGTGAAACTTTTACGGCCATCGCAGACGAGAGACTTGTCGCGGAGGACAAAAGTCCCTGAATCTTGCGAAAAAAAAGTCAGCCGGGGCCTTGTCACGGACTCTACGCACTTGGTGTACGATCATTTGTTGCCTGAAAATTTTGAGTAATGGAATTAAATATTTATTTTCAGATTATGTTATGTTGTAATGTCATAAAATGAATGACTAATGAACATGAAGTTCAAGAAAAAGAGAAGACGTTTTAAAGGAGAAAACTGGGTCCGTCTCTATAAATCGCATCGAGCGCGCAACGTCGACTGTCACGTCATACTTTTAGTCACGTGACATGAGTTCTATTTGTTTTGGGGAGTCCAGCGTACTTTTGTCCTGCGTACCGTCTCCCGGACACTCCGTGTCCTCGCTCGGTTGTTCGGGGGACTTTTTATACTCTTCTACTTTACTCGATCAAAAGTCCCTAATTTGCGCAGGCCATTGAAGTTCGCGCACTTTTATTATGCCAGGTAGCAGCGAGGCAGAGCGGGCCTCTCGCCGCGGACGAAAAATCAGTGACCATTTCATAGGTTCTATTTTTGCCAATTTAAGTTATTAATCTATACGGTTTTGTTATATCCATGAATACAAATCAAAATGGAATTGGTTTAAGTAGCGGGCAGCCCCTAGTATGTTAAAAAATCCTACTTAATATAATATGTGAAAACTTTCAAAAGTAATTGTAAAACTGGAGTTCATTATAAAGTAAGAGTACCGTCTTTTAACACCTTTTTTTCATTGAAAAAGATCATCTTAACATGTGAAATCCATGTTATATTTTTTAAGCATTTAAATTTAAAGAAAATTGTACTCGAAAAATATCCACGCAGACCGATCAGCAGACGGGACTCGAACCCGCTCCCTCCGCTATGCGGGCGGATGTAGTGACATTATGACTGTGACAACACGCCCATTAAGATCTACGGGGGAAGTATTTATGCATGGAGAAGCAGCAGGCAGTCTTCTAGAGCTATCTCCAGCATTGAAGCTGAAATTGTTGCTGCAAGCGAAACAGCAAGAGAAATAATATAACTGAAAAGACTCATCGAAAGCTTAGAACCAAGTGAAGAGTTGCCAGTCCTATATGTAGATAATGAATCTGCTATAAATTTTGCAAAGAACTATACCGAGTTTCACCAAAGAACTAAGCATATCAGAGTACGTCACTTCTTTGTAAGAGAAACTATAGAAGATGGTACTCTGGAAGTAAGAAAGATACCCTGAGACTGTGGTAGCCTGAACGAATGGAGTTGAATATGACTCTAGGGGAGAATGTCTAAGGTTAGATTTAATGACAAGTACTGACCCCGCATCTGATTTTCCATCTGGGTGGGGAGTAGTGTAGACATTGTACCTACTTATTCGAAAAGAGTGTCTCGAGGTATGTGATTAAGAGATGAGAATAACATGATAATGATAGATTCAAGCTCTAATATGTTTGGTGTCAGTCCATTTATATTTCAAGTAGCGATACGAAGGGACGTCATTTTGACTTCATGTTGGTGATTACAGTAGTCAATAGGTTTATTATAATCCTATTTGTTGAAGTAGTAAGTCATTTTTTTCGGATTGTTTCGTATGTAGTTTTTCGATCGTGGATTGTTCTTGTTTTAAATCTTGACTGTTTGTCTTATCACTGTTGGTACGTCCGGAAGTAATGTCAGCGCAAGTGCTGCTTTCTTGTCTGGTATTATTGAGAGGTTGTTCTACTTGAAAAGTTTGACTATCTGGCTTTGAGTCAGATGTAAATTTGAGTTTTGCGCTTTAATATCTCTTTGTAAACATGACAGCCTTTATAGTTTGCGGCATAGATAAATGATTGGCTCTCACTCCACTAGATACCGCGTTATCAAAAAACAACAGCTCCGGTTATGGGCAGTGTGACCAACCTTAAATTAGAGATCCTGCCCCGCTTAGGCAAAAAAACTGACAAATCCTGCCAAAATTTTATGCACAAAATGCCGAAATAATGCCAATATATCGACAACGCTGATCTGTCCTTTTTATGACATTGACAAGTTAGCGCTGCTATCAATACAGGTAGTTCCGATTTTTGCCCCGCTGGAGAACGGGCGGGCGCTACTATGCATACTAAGTTATTTTCAAAACTCCTCAAAAACAAAATTCGTTCACTTGGAACGTGTGCAGCGAGCGGTCCTTAAGGTTCTTCTCCGGAAACCATACAGATACCCACCTCGGGAACTATACAAAGAATTTAATTGTCTCACTGTACGGCAACTGTATATTTTAAGTTCAATTCTTCGGTTTCATAAATCTAATCCGGCACCGACCGGTCTTGTTGTCTCAGAAGTTGCTAGACGACCCAAGTAACCTTTCCCTAATGTCATTTGTAAAACCTCATCTGCCCGAAAAAACTACCAATATATGAGCGCAAAATTATATAAAAAATTTAATTCTCCTTTATCCATTCATTCCCTAACAATGTATAACTGCAAAATAAAAGTTAGCAAATGGCTGAAAGGTATGGATTACGAAGAGACGGAGTGTTTAGTAAATAATTAGAACACTTTATTGTGTAATCAAATACGGCAGCATTTAGTTATTGTCGGTTTCTGTAGTTTTTATAACTAGTTTATATATCTATTTAAGTAATCATACAACCAATGTGCGCACACCCTAATCGGCTACAGTATTTACGTACATAGGGTGCGGCCAGAGTGCACTCAGATTCAGAGTCAGATTCAGATTCTGAAAACAAGCGCGAGAAATAAACAGTGTAGTCTAAGCAGGTTGCCTGCTTTTTCTCGCGCTTTGTTTTCTGAGTCCGAATCTGAATCTGAATCAGGAGTGCAATCTGGCCGTACCCTTCGACTACACTGTTTATTTCTCGCGCTTGTTTTCGAAATCTGAATCTGAATCTGGCCGCACCCATAGAGGGGACCCCGTTGCCTGTAATACAGGTTATCCTACCACTGGCAACAGAAGTCACATTTTTGTTAAAGGTTTTATTTAAGCTCCAATGTGCCTCTTGTCACCAATTTTTGTATTATTAATTTAAAATATTGTAACTTGCTTTAAGTCAATAAACGTTTATTATTATTATTATTATATAGTTATAGTTCCTAGTTTTTGCCACAAGAATGTTCAGTGTTGTTCCACTATACAATTTTATAATCATAATCAAAATCATTTATTCAATTTAGGCTGTTACAAGCACTCATGAATGTCTTGAAGTTACGCCATCGGTTCGTAAATCTACGGCGGGTGACCTTGTACTGAGAAGACCCGGCAAGAAACTCAGCAAGGGCTGTTTTTTTCTCCCTGTTTTATTATTTACAGAGTCGTCAAAAATTACTTCAGAGATGATTCATAAAGTCACCTTTCATTACATAATGATTAAATATACATTAATTGTTTACCTGCATTTTGATTGCTGTGTCATACAGTATAAATACTACTACGCGATATAATAGTTCATGTTGACGATTCATGGTATTATGGCTTAGATTAAAACAAAAAGGGTAGATACGGTACGCTCATACTTGCATAAAACAAAAACTGATCCCACTTTACTACATGTGCAACACTCACACATCCACCTGTTTGTAAAGATACAATCGAACGAACGAAACAGCAATTTAAGTTTCAACGGCAGCGCGAACGGGACGGCGAGATCCGCGTCACTGCATTACCGACCCGAACGAAACAGCACGTTAAGTTTCAACGGCAGCGCGAACGAGACGGCGAGATCCGCGTCATTGCACTACCGACCAATCACGCGACGAGTACTCGACGTCACTACCGAAAAAGATTCAAAACAAACAGCATTTTTTATGAAAATATATATTTTATAGTACTTATGAATGAAAAGTGATGCCGTGGGTTTTATTTTTAGTTCTTGAGCAATTTGAGCACTTTTTAAAAACACACTTAGGCATTGTTTTATCTTATAAACACAAAATATTAGCAATATTTCTTTTTGGCGTTCACATGTACGTCGTTTGCATGTCAAGTTGTGACTAAAGCGATTGTGGTCTTGGGCCACAATTTATGCGGATCACTTTTGTGGGGCTAGTGCCGTAT